TGATAATCCAATCTCAAATGACAATCCATTCGAGAATCAAATCCAAACCAATTGTTTTCGTTAAAATGTTCTTTCGTATTTAAAAGTATTGGCAAGACGACAAAATAATTGGTGAGACATGCTCGTAACCTGTGCCGATTTCTATCGCTCGAGCAACACCCTCCAGTTCTAGCAATGCCTTGGCGGGATCCTTATATCCAGGGGATCCAATTGCTTTACGATCCATACTGGGATTCCCTGCTTGTCTAAACTTCAGTACTGCAAATCTGTGAAACGCAACTCTCGTGGATGGGTTTTTGCTTGGCCATCAAGGCATTCGCATGCTGTCTTGCAGATTCAAACCCTTTTGAGTAAAAGCCTACAAGCACATGCAAGGACCTTTAGATCAATGCTCAAATAAGAATCTTCTGAGTAAGCGTGTGCATTAAATCAGACACACCATTTGCTAGCAAAAACTTCTGTATTTCATTTTGTATTCGAACCACCTCTCCATCCAACTTTGGGCGGCTTGTCTTTAGTCCCCCAATTTTAGGAGGATGAAGCACTTCGTGCGTTCATTTCTGTTTCTTGGACTCTTTCTTTGGTGAAGGCTTCTCCTTCTCATCCTGTCAACATCAACTTGACATGCCAGTCTGCCCAATGCAGTCAAGTGCCTTCTTTGCGTCTGCTTCCACCTCAGCTTTTCGCGTCCGCCATTTCCTGCATCGGCCAAGACTTCAGTAACTGAGGCATTCTGCAGCTGCTACTTTCTTGAGCTCTGACTCCCAAGTCTCCTCAGCAACCAGTCAACCAGGTAGTAGAGTGGTAACTCAGCCAGACATGGAGCACATGCTGAGGAAGAGTGCAAGTGCCAGACGCAGTCGCTCGGACGCAATGGCTCACGTGCTACAATGCTCGCAAGGGGGGCCGCGACCCAACATGTGAGCCTTTGTACACAGCAGCCCAAACATTTAAGATCACAGCAGTACCCGCTTGGGAGCGTCTGTAGATTGCTGAAGACAATAAGGATCAATTGATAAAAAGGAAGAACGCCCATGTCACAAAGGTGAAGATGCCAGCAAGGACTTGACCCAAGCCCCCGCCATACAAAGAATGAAGTGCAGCAGCTGAGGTTGCAGCTGGGAGCGCGAAGACCAGGAAGAACCTTGGGCAAAACCCCCCAGAGTCGTGCAAGCGCGGGCATGAAAAGGGGATTTGCCCTAAACCCTAAACCCTAAAACCCTAAAAACCTAAACCCTAAAACTCTAAACCCTAAACCCTGAACCCTAAACCTAAAACCCTAAAAACCTAGACCCTAAAACTCTAAACCCTAAACCCTGAACCCTAAACCCTAAACCCTGAACCTTTGCTTCTGGTACCGGGGATCGAGCAAAGGTGGGCCTCGATTCGTCCAGTGGTTGTTCTTGACGGCAACGTCGGCCTTTTTGCATTTTAGGGTTTATGGTTTAGGGTTTAGGGTTTAGGCGGGCTAGCGGCTATGGGGTGAACAGGATGGTGCGCATCACTGCTCTTCAGGGTGCCAATTCTAGACATTTTGTTCAGCCCTTTGGCTCTCTAAACTGCTTCGTCCCCTCAAGATGTCGCCTGAATCTTCATCAGGTCCCATTGCCTCTTGGATTGTTCGCGCACCTGCAAGACGCGCATGGGACGGTCAGAATGCAGCCTAACGCAAGCTGGAGGTTGGGCGCCTGCACAGCAGCATCTTCGCCTAACTGACGCCCAAGAAGGAAAAGGCATCACAGGTAGAAACGGCAGAACACCCTGCAAGGCATGCCGAGAGCACTCTCCGCGAAGTTCACCCATGCCTGGGACAAGCCCAGGCTACCCAGGCTCCCATACTCCGAGTCGTTTCTTCGCACTCTTGGCTTGGGAACCCTGGGAAGCCAGCTTGTGGCATCTTCGGTGGCCTCTTGCCTTTCAAGTCTCATGCGCCATGCCGGCAACGTCCGACAAAGTCACCAGAGGGCCTCTTTTCATGGCCGCCTTGACCTGCTGCAACAGTTCGAGGGCCAGCGTGGAAGTTTCACCTGAACGCAGCCCAATGGCGGAAATTGACATGCGCGGAAGCTTCAAGAGCTACACGGCCTTTTTCTTGTGATGCATCTCCAGGACTCCAGGGTTTGAGTGGATGGTGTTGAAACAAGGTAGGCTTGCCACGCTTGCAGTCCGCTGTCGTAGCTTTCGTGACTCGCTCGAGTGCGTAACATCCACCATGCTGTAGATGATCGACCGCTTCGGGCAATACTACCGAAGTTGACAAATTGAGAGGCCAGTGACGAAAACCCGACTTGCCAGGCTTTCAGCATGCTCGGTTCAGCCCACTCTTGGAACACCCCAGCAATCCCCAGCAGACAACCAGGAATTTGGCTCAATCTAAGGGTGCTCCTCTAGGCATTTTGCACTGTCCCCAATGCAGATCCGCCTCCTTCTGCTCTCTTCTGCATGCACACGTTGGCCATACGAAACAGCGGCATCTCTGCAGCCTGCCCGTCAACAGCGACGCGCTGCAGTGGAACTTCAGCTTGCGAGGAAGCAAGCGTCCAGAACCCAACCTGTCCTGCTAGGCCTCATAAAGCTGCGCCTCTTCAGCTGGCAAATCGTTAGCAGCAAGACGCCTGAGTTACTCAGCAGAGATGGCAGCGAGCGGAAAATTTGTAAGTCCCACCACGTGCATCGTCGAGACAGGCTTGCACCGATACCGCAATCTGGCTGAAAGACTTAGAGCATGCAAAGGCCATTGTTCACCAAGCGCAAGAATTCCAAAACCCTAGCAGTTCATACCCGTTCATACCCAAACCCTGAGAACCCTTGGACACGAAGTGTTTCAAGACGAGCCCAATTCCTTCAGACTTTGCCCCCCTCCCTCCCCCCCCGGTCTGAAGAAGCAAAGTTCGGCGCTCAAGGCTGGTCATGATCTCTTTGGTTAACCTGCCGCCCAGCGTCTCTGTCGCTAGGGCAAAACCTTAGCATCCAGAGAAGTTTTGGAGGGCCTTACAAGTGAAAGGCCCCAGTTTTCCCTAGGACCCTAAACCCTAAACCCTAAACCCTAAACCGACCATGAGAGTGACTTCGCAACAACAAATCAGCTCCTACCTTTTTGCGCCTTTCTGGTAAACACGGGCCCATCTCTTCAGGGGACCCCGAAAGGGTTTAGGGTTTAGGGGTTTAGGGTTTAGGGGGACCACGATTGGGAGAACTGGCGAGGTGAAGCTGAGAGCTGTGCAGGTGGCTGTCCAGGCGGCATCAGCCTGGAATTCCACCAGGCGCTTCGCGAACTTGGCAAAAACAACTTAAACATCTCTGAAAATCCCGAAGCCCGAAACATCCCCTAAACCCCCAAAAACCTAGATCCTCCTCAATAAACTTCCAGGGAAAACTCTCCTTCCCTATACTTAAATAATGAGCCTGGCTCAAGGTCACATCAACCTAAAATGCCTCAGCCCTGAGTCCGCGGCGTGGTCCAGATGCTCGCGAGACCTGGCCCAAGGCGCCCTTTCGGGGGTTTAGGGTTTAGGGTTTAGGGTTCAGAGCTGAGGTCTTTTGCGGAGGGATTAAGGGGCTTAGGCTGAGGGGTAGGGTCTATCCTGGCGAGTGAACCCATGAAGAGATCAGGGCTTCGGGTGTCAGCGAAACTTGCCGCATAAGGGTGGCCCCTGAAGGTGGGATTTTTTCTGCGTACGGATGATAGCACCACGGAGGCCAATTCTGAGAGCGTGGATGTTCCTTAGCCCTTGCCTGTCCAGCTGCTCCTTCGCCTCTTCCAAGCTCACTTTCCCCCGTTTCAGCTCCTGGACATGCTGTCATTTCTTGTATGTTTCGTCGACCGGGCGCAACGAGAACGACTGGTACATGCCGGCACATGTTGGCACCTCCAGCTGCTTCTCAATCTCCGAGAAGTTGCTGCGGAGCTCAGCATCATCCTGCTGTGACATCCGTGACACAGAGGAACAAGCGCAGGCTGCCAAACAACTTCTGCAGGACTCACGTCGTCGCTTTGTTCCATCAGCTCCTGAGCAGCTCAGCTTCGTTGGCGCATGTTAGCAGCTCATTGTGCAAGTCTCCATGCCCTTATCATTCACCACATGTAGTGTGACACGGAAGAACGACTTCGTCTACTTCACCCGCGCCTTGATGCGGTCAAAGCGCTGTTGAAGCTCTTCTGTGATAGCACCTGCGCCAGACTACCGCCAGGGGCTTGCCCAACGGCTAAGTGGAGTGCTAGGATGCTCGAATGGGTGCCTTGGCTCCGATTGCTTTGTGCTGCCGACAGCATCAAGCCTGGGAGTTTCTTTCCCGAAGTCTCTCATATGGTTCAGTCATGCTCACTCATTCACATGTGCGGAGCAGCTCCAGGGGAGCGCCGGGCCATGCAGCTCAGGGTGTTGTGAGGACCAGAATTGAAGCGCGTGGCGTAGAATGGGTGTTCTATGGGTGTTCTCATGTGAGATCATGTCAGGTTCCCCACGTCACGTCAGTCCCAGCAGTCCAAGGCAACTGGCAGTTTCTCAGGCCTGCACAAGATGCCGACCTGGCACAAGCGGCACAAGGTCGTTATATCAGACTTGCCATCACGGGAATCGGGGATATCGCATGCCGTAAGCTTCTGGCAGTAGAGGCAGCAGAGCACCCGGGAAAAAGCGGCGACACTTCGAAACGGCCATTTCCGAGCATGAACACATGCCAGCGCCGTGTCGCGTCACTGTGCGCCCAGCCAGAACAGAGCTATGTTATACTGGCTCAATGGCTACAGTGCGTGGGAGTGGCACTGCATCCCTCGCAGGAGTTCGACAGTCTGAATGTGCTATGCCTGCTATGCATGCCGTGGAGGAATCGAACTGTCTTCATGCGCTTTCATGGCTTCAAAGCCAATTAAAAGCTCCGGTGGCCAGGCGAACTCATCTGCTCGGGGCAAATCTTGCAGGGACCCCAGGCATCACGGCCGACTCGCACTTTTGACTTTGGGGAGTTGCACCACCGGCTCGCAATCAGCCCGCTGCTTGTTACGACCAAGCCACAGAAGACACCTTCCGCGAAAGGACTTCAGAGGCACAGAGCTCAGGTGACCTTGTTACATTGTTAGCCTTCTGAGGGCAGTGCCACAGAATTTGAGACGTCAAACTGAGACTTGCAGAAGGATTTCACCTGCAACTTTTCAAGGGGCTGGCTCTGCCTCCTTGAAAACAAACGGGCTACTGCATGCCGTGCTGGCCTTCTGGGGCAGCAAGCCGTAGTCCAACTCGAATCGATATCTATACGCCTTAAGGTAGTGGCTTGAGATGGCACGGAAGGTCGTGCTGTGGCTATCAGCGACATGAGACGCGAGACGCCATGCATAGTTGCATAGTGTCATGGTCCTGCACACGGGGCGTTCCCTGAGCCAGCGGGCCCGGATTAGCTGCTGGACGTGGCATCTCCTTGAAGCAGAACGATTTGGCCCATGCTTTGGCAGCTTTCTGGTGTCTTGGCGTCCGACTGAGTAGGCGTGAAAGGACTTCGGCTGTTGAGGTCCTCGGGAGGGGGCACCCCACAGCTTTGGCTGACGGATCATGAAGGATTTGGAAGCGAGTCAAGGGTTCAGTTTCCTGAGGGCATTCCTCAATTCCCACGCCCTGAAGCCCAATCATGTCGAACCCAGCCCGACATCATTCAGAGGCATATGACTCTAAGTCTCTAAGTCCTGAAGACCCTAAACTCACAGCCACACGGCGCTCCGCTGCCTCCAGCCTTTCGAAGACCCTCCTCATGGCAAAGCGCCCCTCTGGGAAGCCTCGTCCAGAACAGGTTTACAGGTTTGTATAGGGCTTGTAGGGTATTGTGGGGTTCATGGGATGTTTTGAGTGCAAGACAGGAAGGAAGCATGTAGGGCTGAAGGGGTCAATTCTAAGCGACCAAAAGCCTCCTCGTGAAAGCCGATGTGCCGTCTTGCTAGACGCGACAGTGCCTTTTACTTTTGTATGCAAGACGGTTTAAAAAATGTACGACTGTCAAGGTTGCGTGGTGGTGATTTGGTATGAGGAGGTTGGCGGGGCGGATGGGATGTGAGGTGAGGTGCTGTTTGAACCACTCTGTAAAAACGGAATGTCAACAACACATACACAGACACACAGTGTCTAATACCCAAGCAAGAGCTCCATAGCGATACTCCCCACATATTGGTTCTAGTGGGCAAGGAAATAACTTCGGAACTCTCGCTATGCCTGAGCTTTTCTGATTACAAGTTCTTTATTCGTGATAAAAAGAAGATACAAAGGGCCTGTTAAACAAAGTGCAATAATGGGCCCAAAAGGTATAGTACACGGGCCCATGAAGCTTATACCAAATATACTAGCGACCAGAAGCCGTTCTATTCAATCATACTGGGGGCCGTGTGTAATACTATAATTAATAACCATAGGAGCTCCATAAAGTACCATGAATAAGAGCCCAAATGTTCGTTGTATTCCTGCGGCCTACCAAGATAATTCAACGGAGCCGCACACTTCATTCATACATTCATTGCTTTGCTTGTTATCTCCATTCACACGCAAATGAGCTCATTGCATATACCTCGTAAGATTTCTTTTACGGGTCTCATGGAAAGGCGGATGAGAGGTTGACTCACAAAGAAACGTTGGCGAATGCCTGAAACAAAAGCAGTAACTGAGGTGTGCCCACACAACCCTCTCTGAATGTAGGAAGGAATACAGGGGCTTTGCGCTCTCTCCATCACATGACACCTGTGTTTATGTTGCAAATTGCCCACACACACACGGGGGAGGCCAAGCCTTTCCTTGACCCATCAACTCACAGATGAATATGCAATTATTTTGAATGAATGTTGCTACATGGTTAGCTGCTTTTGGAATGTCTTCTTATAAGATTGTATGATTTTCTACTATTCTTGCAGTGTACGATTACTTTATCAACCTCTTATGTGACTAGATTGTTCCATTGTTCAACTGCTCTAGTCTTGAACTTTTAAAGTTTTGTTGTTCTGATATTCGATTATTGTACTTTTCATGGTACTATTTGTTAATGTCATGTTAATATTTATGGTATTACCATAAACATCCGAAGCCTTGAGTGGGCTCGTCACCGGGCAACTCCTGCCTCCTCGACAAGGGGCCAGTGCTGCACTCTGCGTTTTGCTACTGGTAGCTGTTTCTCGCCCGCTTCTGGGATTGCTTGGGTTTCGCTTCGTGTGCTCTCATCACCATCTGAGCTCCGAACAAGCCCTTCGCAAGGTTCAGTGCGTCGAGCTCGACCAAGCACCATGATGCCTGCATGCGGTGTGGGACTGCTTTTGCAGCGTAGTGTGCATTCAGACCTGTCCTGGGTCAAAGGGTGCACTGGATAAGTATCCAGGTTGTTGAAGAAGCGTTCCGATAGCAAGACCTTCGGCTCTGCAGAGATTGGCTCAACGCTTCCCACATTTCATATACATATATATACACATACATATATACATGTGCATGTATATACATATGTATATGTATATGTATATGTATATGTGTATGTATATATATACATGCTACCATATATATATATATATATATATATGCTACCCCCCCATGTACCTACCCTTTTGGGCTGAATATTCTGTATTTCTCCCTGTCTCTCCCCTCCCCCCAAGATCCCGCAACGCGCGGTCGTTTTATTTTTTTGGGCAGCTCCCATAACAATTAATTCTAGCAGAAGTGACCTGAACAATTTGCTCGTGGATTGCATGCTGTGAGTTTAAATAGGAATCCAATTGATTCGAATAGGGTTCCGATCAAATTTAATAAATGGGGTTCAAATGAAAAAGAACCCTACTTAAATTGATAGGAATCTTATTAAATGTGTAGGAGCTTTACTAAAACAAATGGGACAACTTTATGGAATCCTATAAACAACAATGGGAATCCTCTATTTGAATCCATAGGAACCCTGTTTCAAATTAATCGGCGCCGTAAAGTCAATAGGAAGCCTCTTAAAATGAATTGGAGGCTCCTCATAAGCTTATGAGAATCCTCGTAGAATTAACAGGAATCCTGTTACATAGGAACCAATCGGACTCCTGTAAAGAAAATGTGAACCTTTAGAAAAATAACAACGAACCCGATTAAAATGAACATGAGTCTAAACCATAGGAATCCCTTGAAAGTGAATGAGATCCCCTTTAATATTAACACGAACCTCATTAACATGAATAAGAAACTGATTAAATTTATAGGACTCTTATTACAAAACAATAGGAGCCTCATTAATAATTCGGAACTCTATGAAACTTTTTCTGGAATCCTATGAAGATAAATAGGAATCTTCTATTGACTTATCGGAACCGGACAACAGTCAATAGGAAGGAAGCCTACTAAAATGAATGCAACCCTTAACAAATCAAAAAGACCCCGAATTACAATTCACAGGAACCCTATTAAAACGAGAAGGAATCTTTCTACAATCAATAGGAACCAACAGGCCGAAAGAAAAAACAATAGAATCCAAAAACAAGAACTGATAGGAATCCTACTAAACTAATATGAGCCTAATCCAATAGGAATCCTGTAGAATTAATGAGAACCCTATGCGAATCCCAGTAACATGAATAAGAATCCTGTTTAAATTGATAGGAACCTTATTAAATTTGTAGGAGCCTTAGGGCGTGATGTCTTAAGATATGTTGCTAAGGTACAGTGTTTAGTATAGATATTAGGTTTTGCTTATCGGGGGATGATTGTTTGAGATATGGTGGCTAAGGTATAGTTTTTGGATAGATGGCATGTCTTGCGTATTGGGGCGTGATTGATTATATGGAGGTTTTTGTACTCGAGAATTTGCAGGATTCGAGTTTGTTGCCTGGTACTACCTCGAGAAATTTTGGCTGGGAGAGAGCCTCAGATCACGAAAATCACGGATAACATTGGTTTTACCAATGTTGTTGAAGGATGGAGCCCCAAAAACATCGGCAAAACCAGTGTTTTCCATCAAATCCATGGTTTTCAAACCATGTGGCTGGGAGCACCCAATTCACGGATAACATTGGTTTTACCAATGTTTTTGAAGGATGGAGCCCGAAAACATCGGCAAAACCAATGTTTTCCATAAAATCCATGGTTTTCAAACCAGCTGGCTGGGAGCACCCAATTCACGGATAACATTGGTTTTACCAATGTTTTTGAAGGATGGGGGCCGAAAACATCGGCAACACCAATGTTTTCCATAAAATCCATGGTTTTCAAACCATGAGGCTGGGAGCACCCAATTCACGGATAACATTGGTTTTACCGATGTGTTTGAATGATTGAGCCCAAAAACATGGGTAAAACCAATGTTACCAATCAAATCCATGGTTCTCAAACCATGTGGCTTAGACCACGAAAGGCATGGATAACATTGGTTTTACCGATGTTTTTTGGGCTCTATGCTTCAAAAACATCGGGAAAACCAATGTTATCCGTGAATTGGATGCTCCCAGCCATGGTTTGAAAACCATGGATTTTATGGGTAACATTGGTTTTACTGATGTTGTCGGGCTCTATCCTTCAAAAACATTGGTAAAACCAATGTTATCCGTGAATTGTGTGCTCCCAGCCACATGCTTTGAAAACCATGGATTTTTTGGAAATTATCGGTTTCGCCGATGTTTTCGTGCTCCATCCTTCAAAGACATTGGTAAAACCAATGTTATCCGTGAATTGTGTGCTCCCAGCCACATGGTTTGAAAACCATGGATTTTATGGAAAACATTGGTTTTGCCGATGTTTTCGGGCTCCATCCTTCAAAAACATTGGTAAAACCAATGTTATCCGTGAATTGGGTGCTCCCAGCCACATGGTTTGAAAACCATGGATTTGATGGAAAACACTGGTTTTGCCGATGTTTTTGGGGCTCCATCCTTGAAAAACATTGGGAAAACCAATGTTATCCGTGAGTTTCGTGCTCCCAGCCACTCTTCCCTCGTCGTTCGCGTGAGCAGAATACCGAAAATCGAAACCGTCGAGACAAAACAAATCAACCAAATAAGCAAAACATGGTAGGTACATGGGGGGGGGCACCCTACTTATATATATATATATATATATATTTGTTGATCTATGCACACGTACACGCACTTGATCTGGCTTCCCTCACCGGATCCAGTCTGCCTTCAAAAGGGGAGGGTGGCTAGTGCGGGGTTGAACTTGAATTTGCTTAATTCGAGTCTTCTATTCTATGCCGCAAACAGACTTGAGTGAAGAGACCCCAGAAGGGCCCATATTGTCAAGGATAGGCTTGGACTCCAAACCCGAACTTCGACTACCTGAACCCTCATGTGCATTTAGGGCTTAGGGTTCAGGGTCATGTCCAGGAACAAGCCAAGATGAGGAGAGCTCAGGGCTTCCGTCTCTCAGATTGCGCTGGCATATCCAATAGGTCCACAAGCAAAGGCGAATGGCGACAACCAGGCTTTAGGGCCGCTTGAACAAAGCCGGGCTGTTTAGGTTCCTTGCAAACACAAACGAAAAAAGCAACTCCGACACAGCTAACCATTCAGGACACTTAAGGCTTGCAGACTGGAGCTACTTCTTGCTGGCTTCTCTGCGACCTCTTTGCTGTTGATCTCTGTCCTATCCTTACAGGCGCTTGCCGTGGGATTCTTCGGAGTGCAGCGGCTTGAGGGTGTGAAGCCCTGATGCTCTAAAGCGTATTTGCTTTCACTTTTGCTGTGGCACTCCCGTCCGTCCGCAGCACATGATTTGATCATGTGGCTACATGCCCATCACTTTACGGTTCCATGGAGAAGCTTCTTCTCTTCGTCATTGATGCAGAGCAGTGGGCAGTTCGGCGGCAAAGTCCCAACACAGCGGCTGACCTCAACTGCACAGTACAAAGGGCCCATGAGCACCTGATAACAAGCACGGTGCCCCTTTCTTTTCGTGAATCAAGACCATGCCACTGTTTCCTCCCACTGCGGTCCGTGATGTGGGAAAACGGCTTCATCGATGAGTCCAAGGCCATCCTCGTTTCTGCGCGATTCTTCTTGCCCATGATTGCCCATGGAACCCTAGGCCCTAAGGAACCCATGTACGAAGTAGGGTTTCAATTGGGCCCTGCAGGATTACTCTAAGGAATAGAAGTCCCCCCGGCGCTCCCCATGGAGCTTCCCCTAAAAAGATGTATACACGTGACATGAGCTTTCTGGGTGAGGCACACAGCAAATGCATTCCAAAGCTCAAGGTTTTGAGGCAGGGACTCGCTGGGAACCACGGTTGGATCATCCCAACCTTTCCAGTATGCTGTGTTGCAAGTCCTGCCACACAGTATGGCACCCGCGGAGACACCAACGTACCTCACACGGTACTTTTATTAGGGTTCAGGGTTTAGGGTACCTGCAGCTAAAAAAATAACAAGTGGATTTGCATGGATGGGCGGCAAAAGGGTGCAACCGTGGAAGCTGTGAGGTCGGGGAGTGGGAGCGGCATGCGCACGAAGGAAATACAAACATGCAGGAGTGGGTATCACGCGTTCCCCTCCGAAGATTCTGCCCGCATCCCGTACACCCCCACCTTACAAAACCCCAAGCCAAGTGGGCGTTGGCCTTTGGAAGCCCAGCCACCTTAGGGCCAAAACCCCTTCTGGCCCTCTTTTGAACGAAGCTCACCACTTGGATCCTTCGTGACGACCTGAACCTGCCATGTGCGTGCGTGCGTGCGTGGGTGGATGGGTGTGTGTGTATTAGCTAAGCGACGAAAAAAAGTAGGTAGTTCTGTGGTGCGCACAATGATGTGGTCCTGTCGGATGAACATCTACGGCCTTTCCTTGGGCCAATCCAGGCAGGGCAATTGAGTCCCAGGTACACAAAGGATGTTGAACCGCGAAGTTCTCGCAATGCAGCGGACAAGCCTGCTCGTCTCCTCGGGGTGTGAAATCGATTTAGGGTTGAGGGCTTAAGGTTTAGGGCTTAGGGCTTAGGGTTTAGATGAAGTTTGGTGCGATCAAGCGGCGCATGAAACCAAAGCCTCGGCATAGAGGTCAGCGCAAAGGATAGCAACTAACAATTACGAAAACTCATGATGATAGTACTGGTAAGAACAACCGCAGCAGGAATAACAACAGTAGCAGCAACGATGCAATACACTCCAAACCAACAATAACAACCAACAACAAACGTAGCAACGATTGCAGGAGTATCAATACACAGCAACACGTAGCCATACGCAGCCAGAAATAACAATATGTAACCATGACACAGAACAATCGTAAGAACTACGCCGCTGCGGGCTTGAATAACTCACCTTCACTGGTCTTCGGTCAGCATGCCTGTAAATTGATCGACCATCGCAGCCCGGGCAAGAATGGAGTATGTGAGTGCCGAGGACTGGGATCTGCCTTCATGTCTTATCACATGCCCACATCTACACACAAGCACCTCAGACACCATCAACTGTCACATCAACCAGGAAGCCAAAATGTATTGCCACCATCGATGTAGAGAATTCCTCGGCCATCGTTTCCAAGAGCCGTCTTCAGAGCCATGGTTAGCTTCTCTTTTGAACCTCGTGCAGATTCGGCAAAAAGATGTTCAACCAGGGCCATCACTTCGATTCAAGACGGTCAGGTAGCCGTACCAAACATGAGCGCGTGAGAGTAGTTTCAGCATGCATGCTTTCGATTGGATGCCAGTGGCTGATTCTGTGAGCTGGTCGATGTCAGCTCGTCAACACTTACCCATGAGAGGGTTTAGGGTTTAGGGTTTAGGGTTTAGGGTTTAGGGACCCAGTTAGCACCGAGTCTTTCGAAAGGATTCCGGTTTGTCGAAACCAGCCTTTGGCTTTTTCTAATTGATCCAACAGTTGAGAGCCCGTGCGGCCTTCTTTGGCATCCTTGGCCATGTCCTGGTGGCATTTTGTGTCAAGCACAGCTTGCCACCCTAAACCTTAAACCCTAAAACCTAAACCCTAAACCTTGAGTCGGGTGGGGGTAGGAGGTCCTCAAGGAAGATGTGGTCCACGCTCGATGCTGCCAGAGCTTCACCCAGAAGCTTGCAGCGATGCCGTGCTTCGTACCGGCGTTTCTTGCGCTGATCTTTCAAAGGTCGGTCCTTAGTTGTCTAGTAGCCTAGAAAACTAAAGGTTTACCTTGGAGATTAGATAGGAATTCTACTACCCCAAAAAGGTTAAAGGCTATCTACTCTACTTTTCTAAGGGTCTGAGTCCTTACGTGGTGCCGTTCGTGCGGTCCCGATGTAGGCCAGCCTGGGGCCTTCACCAACGTCCGGGATCTGCAGAATACCCTCTGTATCTGCCGGATCTATTCCTCGGATTCGGATGGTTCCTGAAATCCTTTGAAAATAATACTCTTCAATGCGATACATAAACCCAATAATAAGTGAAATATAACAAATATGCCAAACACCTACCTAGATTCTTGATGCCAAGAGTACTGGAATGGCCGAAGCGGCGCAGTCGCGTTTGCTTGCAAATTCCTTCTGAGATCTTCGGGTGTGTGGTGAGTTGGCAAAACAGCGCGGAAGCGTTCCGGCTGTTGGTGCCAATGGCCAAAGCACTGCTGAGCCAAATAGCCTTGGCACGCAAACACGTAAGAGGCAAACCTTTCAACTCATTCGCCACGGAACAAGCTGTTGAATTGGACAGCCTGGAAGCAACTGTCCACACAGCAACAGCTGTCGCCGCCGCAAAGTTGCGTCATACGACAGTGCGCCAGAGGACAGTCTCGCTGCAAGGCATGCCATGGACAAAACACGCCTAGACGCCGTCTGACTCTTCCACGAGAGTTTCGTCATGCTTCGTTCAAGTCCCAGAGAGCTGTAAGTGTGCCGCAAGAAGCCGAATGTTGTGGCGACAGAGGGTGCTTACAGAGAGCAGCTTTGGCCAGAGTGTGCTGCGAGGGCCCGTGCATGAACAAGGGGCGGCAGCACCATGCAACACCTTCATTACGGCCTTCATGACTGCTTCAAGATGATGTAACCTGTTAAACAGAACCAGCAAGCAAGCTCACAGAAGCATTTAGGGTGCTCAGGCTCCAGCCAGTAGCGGCTCGTGACCTGGTGTTGTGATATGTTGCGATGCTTCTACATGTGCCATCACCTGCCTAATGCCTCTGCATCCTGACTGAGGCTATCTGAGCCTCTAGCTGAACGCGCTGCGACGCCTCATCGCATCCAGCACCTTTTGAGCCACGACCCTAAACCCTAGACCCTAAACCCTAAACATTCCTAAACCCTAAACCCTAAACCCTAGATAGCTGGAGGATGCTAGGTGGAGGTGGATCCTCTTCAGCTTGCGGTCTGCCAGGGCAGAAAGAAGCCTTAAACATGCCTAAAAAACCCTAGAAGCCCTAAAACCCCAAAAGGCCCCAAAAAACCCTCCAAAACCCAAAAAGCCCCAAGGGACAAAATTCAGGCGACCGGGGCCCCGGCCTGTGCGACAGCCTTTGGCTCCCAGGCCTCGCAACCGCGATGGCAATTTTTGGCCCCCTTTAGGGGCCCACCAGAGACCTTCTTTCTCCAAACCAGGGTTTAGGGTTTCGGGGTTTAGGGTTTAGGGGTTTCGGGGGGATTGTGGGTTTAGGGGTTTAGGGTTTAGAGGTTTAGGGTTTAGGGGTTTAGGGTTGGGATGTTCCCCCTCATACGAACTCTCCCTAATCGATCTTAATCGGGACTGTAGTACCCCCCCCCCACCCATTATAAGGACTGTTAGGAACAGGGGGAACATCCCAACCCACCAACTTTTCAAGGAGACCTTCTTTCCCCAAAATAGCGTTGAGGGCCCCAAAGTTTACACCAGGGGTGTTTTCAGGATATTGTTCCCGAAATAGGGGCCCTAGGGAGTTTAGGGCTTCGGGTTTGGGGACCACAATACTTTCATCCTGCGGGATCCCCTCAAGAAGAAGGTGGCCCCATAATTTTCGCAACCTCACCCACGTGACCCACACATGTGCTGATGCTTTTCGGCTTCTCGGACCTCTGAAGGCCGTCTTGCCAACTCCCCGAACATGGCACCATACACCCTTGCAGTCAGGGGGGCGCATTTCCTTTTTGGATCTCAGCGGGTGTCAATGTGGTCAATCTGAGAACTCTGCGTTGGCCCACCAGACCGCAACTTGGCCAAGTTGTGGCAAAGAACCTCAGGCGCAGGGCCGCAGAGGCAGTTTCACTGCCGTTTTCCCTGGCAGCGCTCTCCGCTGCTCTCCGGCGTTGAGCGTAGTACCCCCAGTTCGTAAAGCTTGTAGGCTTGCAAGTCCTCAGATGCCACCTTGCGCGATTCAAACCATTGCAGGATGCTGAGGGCTGAAGGCTGGGGGCCGGGGCTCGCGTGACCAGCTTCTGAAACAGCCGAACATTGTAGCCTCGGCTCAGCACTTTGGGCTCCGCAGCATCCGGGTTTCAAAAGTAGGCACCGGACAGGATAGCCTGGAGAAGGCATGCACGATGTTGCTCACGTTTTGAGGTGTGAGCTCGTCGGTCCTGGCACGTCTTATAATCCCCAAAAACCACAGGGTACACATCGCGAATGGCCCCAAAACCGCCCCAAGCATCAGGCAGCCTTGACACCAGGATGTCACCGAGGACATGCATCCTGGCCAGGCCCGCATCCGCAACAGCAACTGCGGAGACGGATTCTCAACTGCTCGCAGGGGCTGCGTCTGGCTCTTCCGCACCTGGACGCATGGCAGCCCAGAGCGCCGTGATGATGATGATGATGATGATGAGGATGATGAGGATGATGATGATGATGATGCTGGTGATGATGATGATACTTCTTGTGTCAGACTTGTGCATGCTTCATACTTTCCATTGACATGCTTTTCATTCGGCTGCTGAGCTCCGTTTGCGACTCTGTACATTGGAGGGACCTGATAAGGAAGCCAGATTCCTCATTCGAAGGACCGGCTTGAGAAGGCTTAAGCTCCTTTCAGGATGCCTGCGTGCCCAAAGGCCGCACGCCCTGGAAAAGAGAGCAAAAGCTCACAGACATGGAAAGCAAGTGCTATACAATGCAACTGTGGGTCATGCCGATGTTACACAAACTAGACGATCATGTTGCTCCCTGGTGCATCAGGCGCCGATGCCACCAGGTATCCTCGAGGAGTTGAGAAGACCTCTGGCTCCTTGGTGCACAGCTGCTTAGCTCTTGCTCAAGCTCCCTAAAAGGCTGGAGACTCTGCGACCAAGGCTTTCTTTGGGAGCCGAGGTGCTGTAGAGTTCATGGCCAGAAAAACGTCCGGCAGCCCGGCCCAGAAAGGAGGATACTTGTACCTGACTGTGCCGCAGCTACGAGTCTGCCGCGCCCATCCACGTCAAGGAATCTTGTCCCTCCGTGACCATGCTGTGCCTGGCAACATCCATCACAAGCACCCGATCCGACTTCCGGTCATAGGCGCCGATCGGGCTGTGATGCCCGGCGCCTGAAAAGCTCGGTTTTCGTGTATGCTCTGATCTCTTCTTTTTTGGGGGTGCCCTGTTTTCAAGGATGAAAGAGGTGTCTAAAAGGGGACTTTGGTTTCGAGCAACACCCCCCCCCCCCCCCCCCCCCTGTCTGCTTGCCTCTTTGGCCGAGCATCTTCCGGTCGAAGTTGATCCCCACAAGCCTGGCCAGTTTACGAAATTGGGGTCCCTTTTTGGGTACCGTAGCTGCTATTGTCACAGGGCAGCACGAATTTCGGGAATCCCCAGTGTGAGCTGATCAGATCCACTAGATGGCTGACAGACTCACAACCCAATTATACCCTAAACCCTAAACCCTAAACCCTAAACCCTAAACCCTAAGCCCTAAACCCTAAACCCTGAACCTAAACCTCCAAGGGGTGTGTGCTCTAGGCCTCAGCCTGCTGCTGTCGGAGAAGGCCTGCCATGCTTGCAACGGTCTCACAATCCAAGCATTCCACATCTGGTCAGTTCTCTAACTTCTGTCCCCTGAACCAGCACAGAACCCATCAAAAACTCTACAACTTCAAAAGCACCACAGCAAGATTGATAGACAAGTGCCTACAATCTCTTGCATCCGGCTGCCTGGACAAGAGTCTCGCGGAACTGCTCCAGGCTGGACTTGGAGGCTTCCACCTGGGTACCAGTACACAGGTTACGCCCCCCCCCCCCCCCCCCATTTTTAGGGTATCACTACATATTATGGCCCCCCCCTTTAGGGTATCACTACATATTCTGGCCCTCCCCTTTTCAAGATATCATTACATATTCTGGCCTGCTTTTAGGGTATCAGTACATATTATGGCGCCCTTTTTAGATTATGGCCCCCTTTTTAGATATCATTACATATTATGCCCCCTCCCCCTTTTAGTACGTACAATTATATTATGGCCCCCTTTTTGGGTATCGTCACTTTATAACCTCCTCTTAGGGTATCATTACACTATGGCCCGGGTGGAGTACGGGATCCATGTTTGGGGCTTCCGAAATTAGAGGCACCTTAATGGGGTCCTAGTTAAAAGGGGATCCTACTACTTGGGGGACGATATATATATATATATATGTATATAAATATTTTTTTATTTGGATATATATTTGGGGCCCCTTATTATCGCAAACCCCCCATTTGAAGCACTGAGCGTGTGAGGCCGTTGCGACTGTTGCCGCTGCACCGTGGCAGCGCAGCATGCCACCAATCTGACATGAAGGGTTGATAAAATCTTCAGAAGCGCTCAAGGCTTTGTCCAACTCGGATGGGGTTTGTTCGTTCGAAGTGCTTCTACTCCATGGAACCCCTTGTAATTCGCAACCAGCCCCCGAATATCCCCCGAATCGTCGGGGCAAGCACTTACGCGGCCTGCTGAAGTGAACCTTGCCATGGAGTTGTTTGCTCCTGCCAGAAAGAGGTGGGGTAAAGAAAGGCGAAGCGGAGTTCGCAACCACTCCGCGCCTTGATACATCGCGCATCGGACTTCCAGATGTTCTGACTCTCCCAATATCGGTAGACCTTGCAAGCAACTTCATCACTCTGTCAAGGTCATCTGAGTACTGCAATACCTCCGAGAAGTGGGTGGAGTGGTAGGAGTACATGTCAGAGACCTGGGCAGGGTGATGTCTGAGTCGGTCTGAAATCTGAAAACTTCCCTTTCAGCACTTGAGTCGGCTCTTTGCAGTCTCAGGGCGTTGCTGCAGCCGGAAGACCCTGAGGAACCAGAGCGTTCAGAATCATGATCGCCTGGAAGAATACACAGCCTTTGATATTCGATGCGCTTTTATAACAGCGACTTAAGCTCCGTGCTGTAGTGGGACCGCACATGCCAGGCAGTTCTGTGACGAAATGAGGTGACAGCTGCCAGTATGGCCTTAGGGAAGAATGACGTATGGCAAAACCAAACGATCGGAGGCTGCTTGGATCATCTTAGATCGCAGCTCTGCGTGAGAAGCTGACCTGTCTGCGAATGCTGGACGGCTAGAGTTCTTCGGCGTGACATGCAACGTCGCCTCAGCAACTGCGACCCCACTGTTGTGTTGAGGAAGATGAGGTCCTCGAATGACATGTTCACTTAATGATGTTTGACCGAACGGCATCACAAGAGTTTGCAAGCACTCCTCAAGGGGCTGTTCACTGCTGCACACCACCTTTCAACTCATCAGAGTCGCTGCATGGACAAGTATCTGCACTCCCTTCGCCGCGTTACCTGAGCACTGCCCTCGGTAAGCCGGTAAGCTGTGGGCGAGCATCGTAGCGAAGGTGAAGCGTGCCATTGCGGATTTCATGGCTGGTGCGACAGTATCGCAGGACTTTCCAGTGCCCTACCACTCAGCCTGACCAGCTCAACAATATGTGAATATGTTCATGTCACGTTGCCTGTTGTGCGTGTCATCTTCCTTGCAGCCGTGCAGTAATTTCGTTGAAACTGAGGCGTGCCTTGTGTACCTTGATATAACGTCTTATGCCAAGCAGATCGACGCTACACGCAGGTTGCTCTCCGCATCCCTCTGCAAGCAGTGCCGCTCTTAGCAGAACCAGCTCCGAGTCAAGCACCGCGCACTTGGCAAATGCATTCATCACAAGGCCTCGTGCAAGTGGAGATTGCCATGTCAGTTTTAGATGCTTGTTCAGGGTTTACCCTAAACCCTAAACCCCAAAGCACAGCTCCCTAAGTGGACAAGCTCCTGGCTAATGTGATGCACCTGAAAGCTTCCTGGCTCCGTTTGCACCACTGACCTCCACACGGCCAATCGTTCCCTTTACGCTGTGTTTTATTGTTATTATGTTACTCGTTTTCTTTGCATTTTCTTGTTTCCTAGTATTATCATAGCCAATACATGTTTTTATCTGACTAGTATCTTACTATTCTATTACTGTGATGACACCAATATGGTATTTTACTGTCGAAGTACTATACTTACTTTCATATAATATCATTCTATGATAATATCGTGTATTTTTAAATCATCATACTCTTATAATATATATATATATATATATACACACGCACTTAGTATTTATTTCTGTCTGAGCCGTGCCTCGACAAGGCCTTGAACAACTCGGGGTTGCACTCCTCAGTCTCACCCGCCGAATGCCACAAGCACCAAAGAGGCAGGCACGGTTTTAGGGTTTAGGGTTTAGGGGCCCGCTTAATTCACCAATTATAGCTTGCAGTAGATTGTCGAGATATCCTGGCTATGATTTGAGGTATATTCCTTACTTGAGAAACATACCTTACGGCAGATTCTTGAGGGATCATGAATATGATTTAAGGTATGTTCCTTGATTAAGGGGTGTTGGGCTCTTTGAGCATGGCAACTCAGCAATGTAGCAAAGAGGCCCCGAGTCGTGCGTACGAGTTGAGGATGATGGCGCAATTTGGCCCACCAACCTGCTATAGGGTTCTTAAGGGAGGGGGGGTTTAAGGGGGGTATCTGACCCAAGGTTCCCTACTACTCCCACTACTAATACTAGAAACCTGACACTCAAGGTCATGCCCCGGTGTTTAGCATGTCACAGTGCCAGCTCTGGGCCTCAAGATAGCAGTCCTGCAGCCGCGTGGCACAAACCTGTGGAGCAGACATCGTAATCCCACGAGTATGAGATAAAATGTTGGTCCTCCAACCGAAGCCCGCAAACGCTAAACCCCCTGTCTTCTCGCCAAGGCCTCTCACGCCTACTGTTTTTTGATTGCAAAGGGCCTGAGGATACCTGTGCCCTTACTTATCCAATTATCCCTACTTACAACGCATGTAAGCCTGGGAGCCGCCACCTGCTGCTTCCTGGGCCCTCGTGTGGGGGGCAGCGCAGACAGGCGCATTTCGAACATGGCAGAGGGGGCAGCATCTTGTGATGTCTTTGGGGCACGTGTGCCTCGAGCAAGTTGTTTCGAGGATTGTGCGCCAGCTCTGCAAACGCCTCAGAGATTGAGATGGCAATTGAAAACAACGGATGCAGCTGCTTTCAAAGCATCGAGGCACCCACAAACACCAGCCTCAGTCAATGCTAAGTCTAAATTGGCATTCTGCTCCGCAGACTCCGCATTTCTTGCTGAAATCAATGAATCAGGTCACCAAGTCCTGTGATGAATTCCTCCTTCATCCGCCTATTGCTGCGAACGAGTGCCTGGCGATGCGATGTCCACTGGAGACAGCCCATCGGCTCGCTCAGCCACGTGAGCCGCAACACCCTGAGGGCATGCTTGACCCAGAGAGCCCAATACCCCACAATTAAGGAACATACCTTACAGCACATCCATCTTCTGATTTGAGGTACATTCCTTGGTTAAGGGGTATTGGGATCTCTGGTGAGATCCCCATGACTCAGCCAAGCTGGCAACATCTCTGAGGCCCAGGCATCCATCAGCTGATTGTGTCGATAACCGAGGCGAGCAAAGCAATTCAGAATGTTGCCTCGATGCAGTCATTCTAATGTTAGGGTTTAGGGTTTAGGGTCGAAACCCTAAACCCTAAACCCTAAACTTGCGTCTGTTCTTGAAGCTGTCGCATCTCGATGATGACATGGTCTCCGCTGTCAGCGATTGGTAAGCACTCGGCAGAGCCCAAACAGTGGATAACTGATCATGCCACGAAGGACCTGTCCAGAATACATCCACAGCACGAAGGCCGTGCAAGAACGCGTAAGGTCGGGTTGCAGGGCCGTCAAGCTCGTGTGCTGTCGGCCTGCGACGCCATCGTCTCCAAGAGCAAGGTGTTTCGCTGTCTCAACCTGATTCTTGTCATTTTCAATGACACAGTGCACGCAGTCGGGCGGTAATTAAGATGTGAAATTTTCGTGAGGGTGAGTTTTGTGACAACGTGGTGCTTCCCATCCGATACGGATGACATACTAGATGGAGAACGTGTGGCAGGGACACGGCAGGGTTGGTCACGACATTGTGCATGAGCTGTTATGGTAAACGACTATGTGCGAGCTTCACAGGGCTCCCGTGATAAAGTGGCATGAAACAGCAATGAGGTCGTGGCTTTTGCAAAGAAGCAGCCAGCTGAATCACCTCATTGCGCCCAAGAAGGTCCGACAAGGGGACGCCCCTTTGACTTGGTATTGAAGGGGTCCCTCGAGTGCAGCACATCAAGAGACCGGAAAGTGGATGACCTTCCGGGAAGATGGTGTGCCCCGCTTTGACAACGACTGCCGTTTCGAGGCAATGGCTCCGCTTTCAGGCGACGGGCCTCACAAGTTCTGGCGATCTCTATGGACGCATGCACAAAAGAGGTGTCCCGACAGAATCAAGGCCTTCTTATACGACCTGCTGAAAATCACGAGGAATGCCAGCAGGGTAAGCAACGAGCCAGTGGGTCGCAAAGAGCTGCAGCCTCCTGGTACGATGGGATGCCATGGGCATGGCGGGGCACATGGTGACGGAGTTTCTGGGCCAGCCTTGCGCACGGCATCTCGGTCGTGATTTGGACCGGTGGTTCTGAGTCAGAGTGAGAAGCGGGCTGGTCTAAGAACGCACGATGCGAAGCACGCTTCATGCGCAGAAGCCTGCCTCGCTAAATCAGCCAGCTGCCGACTAAGGGCAAGAGCCTCAGCCCCGCAAGGCAAGGCCCACGGGCTCTGAACCTCAAACCTCCTCTCCTCTGCCGCCTTGTGCCACCTTTGTGCCACCTAGTGCCACCTAGTGCCCCTAGTGCCACCTAGCCTCTCTGCAAGTTGCGAACCAAGGTGGCCGCTGATGTCCCGCGCTGGCTGGCGTTTGCAACTGAGCGTGTGTCTTTATAGCTTGGGCTGCAGTGGCGGATACACTCGGACACACTCACGCAGCACGATGCCAACTATCGACAAGTTCTCTAACATTGAGGCAGGCGCACTCTCTCACGTGCACTGATCCCGATGGCCCCACTCGCCAAGACGTCGATCGCCCCGCACGCCTCTGGAGGCACGCGTGAAAGAGACAACAACAATCAAAGACCAAGTGCCAATGCTGAGGTTTGCACTTACCTGCCAGATCGCAGCTTCGATCTAAGAATACCTGACAAAGTAACCAAGCGCACATGCTGACAGCCTTGTTTGTACTCCTCGCAGTTGCTCGCTTTTTGAGAAGTGGCAGAGTATGCCTGACCCTCTCTCTGGAGCATTGACGCAAAGCAAGACCATTTCAATGCTGTGTATCTGTGCGCGGCACCTTTGCTGGACTCACGTTCCAGAGGAATCCTGCATGCTTTGCCGAAGCTTCTTGCTGCGGATCTATTCGAACAGTGCTGCCTTTGAAGATGCAGGCCGCTGCAGAAAGCTAGGGCAAGAAAGGGCATGTCTCAGTTGTGGAGTAAGTCTCTTAGTTCTGAGCACTTGATTCATGCTGCACTAGACTCCTTAGGCCTTGGGCCCTACCACCCTGAGTCCTCGATCAAGTCTGCATCGTTGCTGCCATTTGGTCCGCATGGTCGACCCTTCATGACGTTCGGAGTTCGGGAGATTCGTTGGATGCATTGATTTCAGGTTGAGGCATTGTGTGGAGAAGATGCGCGTATCTGCCATAGGCCCAGGCATTTCGTCAGGACTGTCCCTACAGAACACTTCGACTGCACTGTGTATGATCAGGGGATGCCTAGGGGGCTGTCCCGCGCAGCTGTGATTCGACAGCCGAAGAGAGCACCAAAGGCACGACGGACTCTGCTGTGTCACAGCATCAGCTGGCCACGCGGGCTACCGTGGGCCGGTGGATGCGGTCTTTCGCCTTTTTGGTACTAGATTCTGTCCGAGAAATGCACGTCGCAGGGATTTCCTGCATGCTTGCCACGAGTGCAAGCCAGCATGCACAGGTGAAACTTTGCAGCGAAGCATGTAAGTGAAGCAGTTCAACTGCTTAAAAGCAAAGAGCTTGCTAAGCAGCAGCCGCAGCCCCTGAAGGCCTCCAAGAGAGCAAACAAAAAGAACAGCAGATGGACGAAGAACAACTCACTCAAGTCCCGGGCATATCGTGCTCCAAGCTTGCCAGATACCGCCAGGTCTCTTCGTCCTCCTCGTCCTCCTGGCAAAGTTGGAGTGCCAAGTCTGGCAACATCCGGAAAACCACAAAGAAGGAATATGCCAGCATGGCATTCGCGACCTCGTTCGAGTAGCCTGACAGCACTGACTCGCGCAACGGACCATGTGGGAATGGATGTGGACCTGAAAAGAACAAGCGTGCAGTGCTATGTAGCTTGAGATTGGAAACCATCGATCGGCTGCGTCATGAACGGCAAGAGGACTTCTGGGAGGGCGTCAGCACCTGTCTATGCCCTGACTACATTTGACATCGTCAGCTGAGCACGGCTCACTTTAAGCCTCAAACCTGCTGCTGCCGCGCTCAGGCTCTGACAGTTTTCCATCAGATCTTCTGGACGGAAAAACATGGACAGCGGTTTGTGGGCCTTGCTTCGCATGCGCCTCGGATAGTGACGTGACGGTATTTGAACTACCAGTAGCTTCATTGCGTCATCTGCTTCAAGCTTGGGCGGCGTCCTCTCGAAAAGCATCTCTTCAACATCCTGGACAGAACCCCCAACCCCGTCATGCTAACAAAACTAAGCCCCAAAGCCATTCTGGGCCTGGTGGTTGTAGTAGCAAGCCAGCTCTTCTAGCGTGTTGCCATCTGCCTGGCCACTAAACTCCATGCCGGTTCTGGAAGTTCTGGGGCGTGCCAAGGATGCTTCGGAAACAAAGCGAGGGCGGCATCGCGCTGCTCTAGCGAGGCACCTGGCACTGCGCAATCTGATGTATCCCGCCCAAGCCTAGGCCCTAGGCCCTAGGCCATCCTAAGACATCGTTGGGTGAATTCCTAGTGAACAAGAGATAGGATGGATGCTTTCACCTGGCGTTTGCATCTGATGCGGCGGGTTCCTTGGCAAGAGAGTTCCTGTCACGTAGACTCACGTGTAATGGTGCGGGTTCTTGGGGGAGGGGGGGGGTTACAGTAGGCGTGGAAACAGATCAACGTCTTTAACGCATCCCGAGCCGTTCTAGAAATTTCTAGAACATCCTACACCATCCCCGAAGCCCCAAGCCATCCTATGAACTCCCGAAATTTCAGCTCAGTTGGGTTGCATGTCCCGCAGCCTCTGTCCAGTGCAGCGTCAATGGCCTTCCAATCACCAGCCTCCACCGCCTGCAGCCGTAGGGTTGAGGGGCCCAGGGGCCTCTAGGGTTTAGGGTTTCGGGTTTAGGGTAAATGTGGAGCCTACTGGGAAGGAGCTTAATCGTAGGACGCTGTGGCGCGTGCAGTGTCTGAAATTCGTTGCGGTTGCCGCAGATCACTTCGGCTCAACTTTTTTGAAACTCTCGTGTCCTTGATGAGCACCTGGCCGTTCACCTCCTTCCTCAGCTGCACCTGGGGGCTTCCGAAGAGCTTTTTGTGGGTCCCTTAAGGGAATCCAATTCTATTTGGGGTATAAGGGATAAGGGGTACCCCTGTTTTGGGAAATGCCCACCTTGAGCTGTGCCAGAAGCCTTTCGTTTCCGATGCCGTGCACATCCCAGACACGTTCGCTGAAGGACCGGAGCCGCCGGTCATCGCTCTTACGGCTGACCTCAGCCAAGGACCAGTCGATGGCATCAATACGACTCTCCCATCTTAGAATGTCGTCCATAGAGCTGCCGTAGCCCCGTGGGTCAGATGTGCAGATTCGAAGCTTGTTAGCAGCTGTGGCCATCATGGCTTCGGTCAAAACCCAAAGCCGTGAGAAGCAAGCCAGCTCTTTGTCCAGCACCAGCAGCACTTCTTTGGCGCCGTGCACGAGAGCTTGCACCGCTGCAACCGGATCCTCCCCCTTGCATGCTTGGGACCCCTGAGAGCTTCGCGCCGGGGCACTTTCAGGCACCACTTCCAGATGTCCAGACAGATGCTCGGCTCCAAAGAGGTCGATGCTGTACCGCCGGTCCAGATCCGAGCCCGCATCTCGCACCAAGCAGTCTACAAGCTCTGGAAAGCTCGCATCCCAGGCGTGCGCGACATGCGTGGAGCACGGCCCCGCCACCTCGCCACACGTCAGCGGATGCACCTCCTGCCGCTCTGCCAGCTCCGCTGCGCTGCGCGCCGAGTCTCGGCACTCCTCGCGCTTGAGCCTCAGCGCCGCAGCTACATTTCTTGTTGTTTGTGCAGTCTCCGAAGCCATAGGACCGACGTCGACGAGACATGACACCAGAAATGCCGCACTGACGCCGATCGGAGGAACAGCGCATCGCACGGATGTAAGTCGCGACGATTTGGCTGAAAATGAGTTCCGTGAACTCAGAGAGCACTGGCTAAGCGTACCTGTCTTGGAATACGTGGAATCTGCGAGCGGCGTCAAATCTCGTGATCTCGCAGAAATTCGATTCTGCAGCTTCCGCAAAAGCTTTGCTTCGCTCAGGCATGTTGCCTGCGAAGGGGAGGGAAGTCTCCTCATTGCGGATTTCGCAGGAAAGTCTCATTCTCGGAGGTTGTGAAATGAGGCATGGTTATGTCATACCTAGCGTCCGAACATATCTTGCTGCTGCCTGCTTAAGAGATCTAAGAGTTGCCCCCCTTCACGAAATGGTGAAGTCTGTTTAAACAAGCGTCCGGACATGAAACACATGTGCAGCCTGATAGAGCCTGGCGGCGAGCATACCGAGCAGCAGGCTTCTGCAAAGCCACGAGAGCGACTGTGCATCCTCTGAACAATACTATTGATTCGTCATATAGATTTATGAGTTGTTAGCTATTCTTTGCTATTTTGCTATTTATTTGATTTCACTTCTCCCAGCTCTTTTTCCATCTGCGACGGAGCTTTAAAGGGTACAGAGCTTCCACTGACGCGCGAAGTGTTTCCTGGCACGTCGGCTTCAGCTGCCCAGATTCGCGAAGAGGGCACTACCATCTTAGCAGCGCCTCCTGTCGCAAACCTTGCACAACATTCTCATTGGCCTGCTGGTGTTGCTTCTGAACTGCAGGGTGAGGAGGTGTGACGAAGCTCAGTCGCGAAAACTTCGCGTGCTTTGGCTAGATCCATGCAGGGAGCCGAGCGTAGTGCGCGGCACATGCCCGAAGTGCAAGTGTGGCGCCTCCTTGAAGGGGGAAGATGCCAGCTTTGCTGCTTTGATGATCTAGCTGCACAGTGCTTCAATGTAGTTGACCCGGCTGCCTACCCTGAATCTTTACGTGGCACCGAGGCAGTGCCTGCAGGTCCAAACTAAGCAGCTGGCGATCTGTCGTCGCACTCCCCGATAGGCCCAAACGCAGTCCTTTGCTCGCACCTCCAAGCAACTACCCAAAGAGCCCAATCCCCCTGAACTAAGGAATATACCTTAAATCAGATTATGAAGGATCCCTGCGTACTTTAAGGTATATTTTATATTCAGAGTATTCATATTCTGTTCCTGAATTCAGGGGTCTTGGGCTCTGAGTAGTAGTTGCAGCTACCCAGGCACTCAGATCACGAGCGAATCAATGCTGCGAGCTGCCAGGGTTGAGGCCTCCAAGCTGTTACATCGTCTTGGCGACGACTGCGCGGAGGTGACTCGACTGCCTTATTAAATGACACTGTTGGGTCGTTGATAATCCTGTGGCATCTGATAACATCCCAAAAACCCCCCAAGCTCTTCGCCGTCGGCAGAGGACTGCCGGATCAAGGCCTCCCAGCCACGGCAGCTGACACGATCCGTCACCAACAATTCCGAGCACGACGTTGCTCAGACCATTCGAAGCAAGCACGTTTCCACATGGGCGGTCAGAGAATCTGCTTGGCGACCCACGGTACCAAACTCACCAAAGCTTTCCGTAGCCTAGGAAGAGGCTAGGAGAGGCCAATGCCCAAGAGCGACACGCTCAGCGTGCTCCGCCAAGTCATGCTTTCAAATTCAGGGATACCTCTGCCCGAAGGATGGCCGCCACGATGTTTTTGTCTTCGTAGATTCCTGTAGCATCCTTTGGGCACGTCGTCCTACATGGCAGAGTCCGGCTAAGCTACATTGGTGAGAAGCAAGAAAATTCTTGACTCAGGACTGCTTTGCCGCGCGTTTTGCGCACCAGCAGCCATTTTGCCTAAAGCCGCCATGCTGAACGCACTGCCTACTGGCCTACTCCTCGTTCACGGGCGGCAGCTCAGATGGTGGGGCCATAGAGGGCCTGTGCAGGCTGTGCAGATTCACTCCATGATTCACTCCGGAACTGGCAGCAATCCTCTGACATGCAGCTAAGATGCAGCGCCGCCGCTTGCGAGAAGGGCGCAAACAAGCTGAACCACTCGTTTCGCTGATCCTGGTGCGTTGGAATGTGTGAAGGCTCCCCGAAGATCACAGTGTTCCACAGGTACCTAGTTACCCTGAACCCTAAACCCTAAACCCTAAACCCTAAACCCTAAACCCTAAGGAGCACAGAACATGCACAGCACTGAAGCGGCCTCGGAGCTGGCTGCCAGTTGGAGGACCCAGCGGCCACCATCCAGCTCCTCAACACACGACATGGGGGTTTCCGACAGAAGCAGGTGCCCTTTTTGAATGAGGATTATAGTATTTGGGGTACAAAAGGCGTGCCCCACATTTTTGGGAAGTGCCCAGATCGCCTCAAACCGTCAGACCGAAAAGCACAGGTTCTTTCCATGGACAAGGCCCAAAGCTGACCATCTGCTCCTTGTCGGCTCGGTGGGCCAAAGGGCCGGGTTTCACTGCCACTTGGAAGGCGAAGGGCCGGGCGGCCTCCGCTTCATCCAGTTCCCTGCAGGGCTAAGCTTCGGTTGCTTTATGGCAGACCATACTGGCATGTGCTGCAAGTGTTGTTGTGATGGCATTTGAAAAGTGGCCTGTGGGTGGCTCCCTTCTCGAGCGGATACTCCTTCACATGCTCCAGGCTTGAGGTGTCTTGCAGCTTCATACCTGAACCCCTAAACCCTAAACCCTAAGCCCTAAACCCTGAACTCTCTCTGCTCCTGAGGTGCAGGATCTTCAGGTGGTGAAACTACCACGCCTTTGTGCTCACAAGAGCAAACCAGGTCATTCAGCTCTGCGGAACTTGTCCGGGAGCCAACATAGCCAAGGTACCACCAGCATCATCGCGAACGACATCCGCGGCGGAGTTACTGACACACAAGATGCCTAAGAAGCTGCACATGTCAGAGGTACGTGTCTCAGGCCCTCTCGCATGCCAACCATCTAGGCTTGCTACCTTTCTCAGTCAGCCAGCAGCGCCGTAATCGCCACTGCTCCGGCGACCTTTGCATGTCAAGCTACAGAAATGCTGCCTTGGATACGCTACTTGCTGGAAAAACCGTCCACTACCGTCTGAGCTCGATGCATTGGGTCCCCTCCAGGGAGCAGAGCCCACAAAACCCCACTGCTGATGAGCTTTTGGTCCTTCCGAGTGATGCTGCATGTTTAGTTCACCTCATACTGATGGCATCTGAAGCAGGCTGGTTGAGGCATCGCCGTTGCGTCTACCGATGTGTCCGCTGACTACTCAGGACCGCCTGCGGTGGTCGAACCGGGCGACGGGAGGCTAAGTGGTACGTCCTCGGTAGCAATGGGTAGCAATGCAATGGGTATTATTTACATATGTACACCGGCCAGGACATCACAGCCCTTCCAGTTGACCATGGGGTCCGGGCATGTACTCGTAAGGATCTTCTGGTAGAGCAGCAAACAGCTCTGTTAACATCTCCTGGAGGCAGCTGGGGGGAGTTGACCTAAGGACTGGAGAGGACGGAAGGTGCTCTGTTCTTGGATATGGGGGTTTCCGGCATTCGGGGGTACCTTCCTGGGGTCCTTACTGTAAGGGACTATCTGGAAAACTATATGAGGGGTCCCTTATTTTCGCAAACCCCCATATCCACAACTAATCCCAACGAAATGGATGTCGCGCACTTCCATGCAGACAGAACGATCCCGGGTCCAGCTACTTTCAAGTTCGGCTACATTGTTCGCGTGGCAAATGCATCTCCATAGTTATGATTGTTCTAGGGCTTTTATTGTAATACGGAGCCTGTGTATGTAGGGTACTAAGAGATAGGGACGATCGTGAAGATGATGGATCATCTAGCCAAGACTCGCAGTTGAAACAAACCGTCAAACCAGGAATTCAACCCGTCAACTCGTCACAAGCCCTGGATGGCGAGCATACCCATATCCGGCAAAACAGCAGGCGGGAGAAGGGAATTCATTATCTAACTTCAGGCGTACAGGCAGTCCTGCACGAATGGCTGGATCTGGTGCTGCTGCATGTAGCCTTGGACTGCAACACCCCTAAACAACTTAGAACCCTATAAGCCCCCCCCCCCCCCCACCCCGGTGCAAACTCTAAACCCCGAACTACTAATTCCTTAAAACCCCCCAACAATTCAATAACTAAATAACAAAATATAAACAAATATGTGTATATATATATCTATCTCATAATCACAATAATGATCCCCATATTGCCCTTGTAAGGAATACAGCAGCAAAGTGCGTAAGATGTCAGGTGGCCATCCAGAGCAGGCCCATCCGCGGCTTCATTTCCATCTGCCGCCTCTCCCATGGCGCCTTCTGCTGGCCTAGCGGGTCCTTCGGTGCTCTACCTGGAGGTTCATGGTACCTCTACTTGGAGGTTCATGGTACTTCTGAACCAAGTAGAACTGTACTTATGAGATGCTTATAAGCCCCTTAAGTGCCCTGATAATTGGTTCGTGCCCTGAACCTGAAGGGCTCTGGAAGACTTGGGGTTCCTGGTCCCGGCAGCGCGTGTAACCATTCTGTGAACTGGCTGTCTGGGCATTCTTCCCTGAGAGCTTGAGGGGTGAAGGTGAGAGAACGTGCAAAAATGTGCAATTCCCATCCATTCCGGCGATCTTCCAAGGCCACGCAGGCATACGCACGCCCAGCGCCTCCATGAACCCTTCCGAGCGCGCGCTGCTGCACGACGAGGCGGCGTGGGTACTGCACCTCAGCATGCGCGTGTGCGCATGGAGTGCAGGTGCCACACAGCCAGGGCTGGCTCAACATGAGCAGAGCTGTTCAACTACACAGAAACAGACCTGAGCAACAGACTCCTCGGATGCCTTGATGCGGATATGTACCTAGGCTGCACTTCTGCTTCTGTTGGGCCTTGAATGGCGCTGATCTACATTGGGCACATGACAAAACGGACTCGTTAGGCAACATTTTTTCTGAGGCCGCACGCATGCTTGCTTTGCCTACACCCATGGACTGTCGTCGATGCACCGTTAAGTATGTGAATGCCCATTTGTATCCATTCGTGTAGATCCGCAGGCAACGACCCAAGCACTGGGCAAAACGTGTTCTTGCGGACAAGGACGACATGGGAGCTTACGAACTTTAAGGGACCCAAAAGATAGAAAACAAGGGACCCAAAATATAGACCCCAAATAGTAGGATTCCATTCCAATAGAACCCCAAGAAGGTACCCCCCCCCTCCCCCCTCCCCGCCTAATTTCGGAAAGCCCCCACATGCAGCCGTGTGGCATGCTGGAGTAGCCGGCTTGGAAGCTCAGGTCTGCTGGACAGCGGCGGCCGTATGTATCCCTCAGCGTCGAGATTCGCTACAGACTTAGGGTTTAGGGTTTAGGGTTTACAGTAGGGTTTAGGGTTTAGGGTTTAGGGTTGTTGAGATGCTTCTCTGTTTGGAAGATTCTGCTCACTGAGGCTCCAGATAGCTCCATGCGGGCAGTTCTCAAAATTGGGGTCCCGTTTTGGGTCCACGTTCAAGGGTACCTTACTCCACCGGGAACCCCAAAGAAAGGGACCCCCCAAGGCCCCCAATTTCGAGAACTACCCACGTGCTCAGAAACAACTTGGTACGATGCAGAGGTCGGCCGACAACCCGGGCAGCTCGGCGGCTTGAAGGCCCCCGGCTTCGGCTGGGGCCGTCCTCCACAAGTGGCAAGTGACATGCAATGGCGCGTGTCATGACTGGTACCTGCAAGCGGGGGACATATACTTGTAGCCAAGCATCTCTGCTCCGGCGGCGCTGGAGCTGGTGCGCTCGTGGCCGGCTTCTGCGCTCGCTGTGGAAGCGAAGCGGATCTCGGCGTCCTTGGCACCCGATGGTTTAGGGCCTTTCCAAAAACAGTTGCCACATGTTGCTACGCTCATTGGCAGGCTGTCTCGAGGCCTCGCGGTCTTCGCGATGGGTTGCCGATCGCACGATGCGGGTCGTGCTCGGTCTACAACTCCTGCCTTCCCAAGCGTGTACAGATTTCTGCGCTGGAGGTGCAAGAGGCAAGAGTCGGCAAAAAACGCTTCATGAGTTTTCATGTGAGGGCTCAAACCCAAGCGATCTACCTGAAAACTCGATAAGGGGATTTGCGACAGTAGGGGGACCCCGAACATAGACCCCTTTTACTAGCTAGGATTCCCTTATAATCAGGACCCCAAGAAGGAACCCTAAACCCTAAACCCTAAACCCTAAACCCAAGAAGGTACGCCTATTTTCGTAAACACCCCATAAGCTTGTGGCCTTGCAGCCTTTCGATCGCTGCTTGCACTCCTGGGAGTCCTTGCAGCCCCAACCGAGTGATTTTTTTGGTGGTACTTGTGAGAATAATACTAATATTGGTAATAATACCAATAAAACAAATAATAGTAATGAGAATAATCATAACAACTATGGTGCTGAGGCCAGGACATTGGGCGGCGAGGCTTGCTGATGCCTGTCTGAGAAGGAGTTTGTTCGGGTACAGTGCTGTATCAGGGTTTTAGCTCGAGGAGATTAACGACTAAGGCTTTCTGGTTCCTGAGTTGGAGTGTAGGGCATAGCGGGTTCCACTTCGGTGGAGGGCTTGGAGGGGTTGGAGGGTCAGCGATCGCTCTACGAGTGACTCGATGCTGTGTTCGGAACTTCCACTCTGCACAGCTGAATCAAGAATGCCATGGGATTCGCCATAGAATCCATAGACGCAGCTCCAGCAGTGACAAGTAGCGAGGCACGAAGCTGCACGAGGCCAGTGCCTGCGCAGCCTGGCTGCTGATGGCCCGATAGGACCACGTGGGAGTGCGGCCACTTGTGCTTCCTTACAGGATCTGAGGTTTAGGGCTTCCGGGCTTTCTGGTTTGACACGGGCCCGAACAATTTTTTGCGCTGCACGTGAACCTGCTCTGTATTCTCAAGGCCGAGGCTCGACTTTCGTGCACTCCGCTCCTGGCCTCATGCTTCGCCAATCTGCCAATCGCTGCAGCAGATCGACTTGCTTCCTTGCGATCTGGGCTGATCGTGCAAAGTTGACTGACGATTTGACCGACCTGTGCACCAACAGCACAACTTCCCAAACCCAGCGTTACTAGCTGTGATTGCCACCGGCGGCACAAAACCTTGTTCGGCATCTGCACTGTCACAGAAACAATGCCCTGCGTGGTGGACTAGACATGATGCGATTATCCAGCTCTGACATGCGGCTCAAAATACTCGTCTGACTTACTTGTGCAAGGTTTCATGACTAACTTGAGGCAAGGGACAAATCTCGAACTTTGAATTCAAGGTCCGACGTTTTACAGCCAAGTCCAGACTTGTCAAATGCGCTGTGCCGAACATGAAACACCAACTGCAACGACCGAAGCTCTTTGATGGAACAGTGCTGCCAGCTGGCGGTGTTGCGACCGACTGCTCGGAGCTAGCTCTGTCGCAAGCCTGCAGTAGACTCTACTTCAATAGACACTTTAGGAATTCTAGGAGGCAAGCGAAATCGAAACATGTCGAAACGCCGTATAACCCTCTGTGCTTCCAAAACACTTCATCCGTCTGCATCCCCTCCAAGACGTTGCGCCGAAGCTCTTCTAAGGCAGAAGAAGTCACACCTGGAAATACTGCTTGTGGGCCAATGTAATGCGCATCGCCTCACGCATCTGGGAGCCGCGCTTGAGGAGGCTTCTCCATCAGGTACCAGACCCCTGGCGCCAAAAGTTGGCGGACTTTCTTGCAATGCTTCGCGGCACCGCCCGTCTCGGACCCCAGCCCGTGGTCAGAAAGCCAGGGTCGAGGCCAGTGTTCCTGCAGGACGTGTGCTGGCGCCGAAGCACCTAACTAATGTCTGCGACAAGTGGGCGATGCTACGTGTGCAGCAGCGTCACTCATGTCACTGCTGGCTCCTCCGCTTGTCCGGCAAGCTGACTTTGGGGTTCCATCTCGGCAGAACTTTGGTCTGGACTGTCGGCTGTCGGCACCGGTTCGTGACAGCTGGCGGGGCTTGCGGGGCTTGCAGGGCTCGCAAGGGCTGTTGGTGCGGAACTCCGCTTCCTGCGCAGCTTTCTGCAGGTCGCTTCGTGCATCAACGAAAGGCAACTCCAGGTCCAAAGCAATCGCACTCCTCGTCCACCTGCGGGCGGGGCCCTCCGACTCTGCCGCCTCTTGCAAGGCTTCATCGGCTTCGTCTTTCTGGTGCCCGTGCTCCTGGTCAGGCGCGCCCCCGCCAACATCATCTACAGTGTGTCTCTGATGGTCTGCTGATGTGAACATATCTTGATGGAAGGGACAGCTCTAAGCTAAACGGGAATCTCGGTCGATGCCGCAGCCTGCGCGCTCCTCCATCGCACTTGGTGCAGGGGCTGCAGGGGCAAAAGGGGCCGGGCTTGGCGGACGCTTTGCCATGGCCTTGCGACCGGGTCTCATGTCGAACGCCGCTGCTCTGCGCTTACTGTTCCCTTGACCGAAAGAACCATCATAACATGGTATTACATGTAATATTGAGACCCCATTCATCCCCATCCCTTCAGTCCCTACTGACAAAGCAAAGCAACACCAGACCCTAAACCCGAACCCCCAAGCCCCAAACCCTCAACCCTAAGGGGCACAAAGACATCCGAACACACAAAAGCTCAAAAGCGCTCTCAGCGAGGCCTGGGCTGGCTGCGAGGAACCTGCACTGCACTTGTCAAGGAGGGTTTTTGACCGTTTTCTCCTCCTTGGGAGCCCCCTTTTTTCCTCTTCCCCAGTGTATGCTATGCTTGTAACAAGACTGCTTGAGGTTTGGGCTACTACTGTGTAATTATCACAAAACTGCCTGAGGTTTGGGTTTGGAGTCATGAGGTGACGCGGACGAGGGCAAGACTGGACTTCGGTGTCGCCGCTTCGGCTGCTGCTAGCAGGTCGTCCAAGCGGCCGTGGCCTGCCGGACAACACGACAAAAGCCCTCCTTCAATGAGTTGAGGCCAAGGCTCCCCTAAACCCTAAACCCTAAACCCGAAACCCTAAACCCTAAACCCTAAACCCTAAACCCTTCTCCCTACCCTATAAACCCTTGTAAGGAGCATCTCCCATCCACGCCTGAGATGAGGCCAGGATCCAAGGGTCTGCTCTGCCTCGAAGCCTCCTATGGAGCAGTCAAGCCAGCTCATGGTTCAGGGCTTTAGGGCTTAGGCTGCTTCATTTTGAAGACCGCTTCTGCACTCTGATTTCGCTTGAATGGCACTGCTGCTCTATTCTAAAGAGCGCTTCAACGGACTGCAGCCAACAGCGCAGCTTCTCACCCCCCCAAGCTTCGAATGGTCCCAAAGAGCCCCGCAGGCCTCGCCGAGAAGCGCCAGAAATGCAAGAACTTCTGGTCCTTGGAAAAAAGGAATTAAAAAAACATACATAAACATATCTATACATATATATATATAATATAAGATGTGATTATCTTTGTATCGCACTATGACACCACATTGCTGTTACTGCAGATCTCGCACGCTTTTCTCTTGTCGCCAAACAGAAGATCCCCAAAACATGCTGGCCACAACCAAGCCCAAAGCGGCAATGATGTGCCACAAGCCTCCTATTCCTCCTCCAGGACGTGCGGCATGTAAGGCTTGCGTCGCAGTAGTATGCCCGTGGGCTTCGGCAATGTGGACAGGGGTCCTGCCGTCCTGGTCAAGATCACGTCAACTAACTTCTCTGCATTGGACATTCCGTGTCTGTGCGCGTACCGTATATCTGACTAACCTATGTGCATGCTGCATACTATACAGCATGACATTTGGGAAGTCATGAGCCTGATCCTTGGGCTCCACCATGGCTCGAGCTTGAAGAAGAGCCCGAATTACTTCCACGTTTCCAGCTTTTGCTGCAGTATGCAGGGCAGTCCAAGACATCCTGTTCCTTTCAGTCACGCTGATTCCGCCCTCAGCCAACCACTGTATCACCTCAACATGGCCGAGCTTTGCGGCATGGTGTGCCAGAGTCCACCCATTCCCATCTGGCGATTGCAAGTCTGCACCTTTTTCGCGAAAAGTCGCAAGCAGTTTGGCGTGACCGGCTCTGGCCGCATGTCCTGCTGGGCTGATCCCGCTCGGGTCGAGCCGGTTCAGCTGATGCGGTCGGCTGCTTGTAAAAGCTGCCAGGTCGCCCCGACACGCGCTAAACACCAAGTCTTTGGACGCTCCCTGTCCGCCAACCGTTAAGCTCCAATTACTCTGAACGATCACTGCGTGCCACCAGCCTCGTGGCAGAAAGACGACCTCGCCCTCATGTTGCACGCAGTACTGGAACCCAGCTCGTTTTAGTGAGTCTTCGTCATGATCGACATAGGGCCGCAGTGGGGGCTTGCCAGGTGGTGAGGTGAACCACCTTTTGCTTCCAGCCAATGACAGCGCCCATGTCCGATCGTGGCTATGCAATGGAAATGATCCCGGAAAGCTGCCGACGGCCATAAAGAGCTCGCGCGCCGTTTCACGAAGAAACGAAGGGATGCCAACCGCCTTAGCCAAGGCTCGATCGCAACTTGGACTGAGATGGCACTGCCGAAAAGCGTAGGGGATGGACTTGTTCGTCTCGAGGCGCTGAATGTACTCGCTTGCAGCTATCTGCTCGTCTTGAGTGAAGCCGTGCTGTGCTTGATTCCCGATGGCAGTCGTTATATAGAGCGTTATGTTGCCCAGGCCATCAATCATCTCGGCTGTCCTTCCACTTCCAGCTGTTTGAATGAGCAAGGGGTGAGTCATGCCCTGCTCAAACCCAGGCTCCAGGCTTGAAGACTCGATCTGCTTAAACTCGCATCGGGAACCGGCAGAAAGGGTGCTGAACCAAAGAAGCCCCACGACGGCGCCGGTGGCGCGACACCACATGTGTGGCATCACAACGCGCATGGTGCGGCTGGGACTTCTAGCCTCAGGTTGGAGCCAAAATGCTGCAGCCACAGCACAAAAGCATAAAGCATGCTTCCGAAGTACATGTGAAGTTGAGATTTGGGTTATTCCACCCCAAGTAGCAACACATAGCAACACCGCAGCCTGTGCCCACGATCTTCGGCCGTCCCACTCTTCATGATTCACCAATGTTTACTTGCACACTCACCGACGTGAGTCCTCATAATTACAGGCCGACAGACACACAAACACCCCTGCAAGCAAAAAAGGTTCGGGGTCAGCTTGACTATCTTCAGGCCGTCCATCTGTCATGATGTGGGGCAAGACAAGACTCTGACACGATTGTGGTTTTGGGTGCAAAGGATGCCACCCCTCGGTGATCCGCGCTCCTCAGCCCCTAAGAAATGCCAAGTCGCTCTCAGCATCTTCTGTAAAGCAGTCTTGCCTTGCGAGGTATCTGATTTTTGAGATGATCCGTGTGCTCCAAAATCTTTAACCCCTGCCCGTGCCTGTGCTCACAGTTGCCAGGGCAGCTGTTCACCTGGCCGGAAGGTGTCTCGCGATCGCGATTCATTCAACTGTGGAGTCTGCCTTTGGGTCAGGAGACTCTTCGGTCATGGTTGCGGCTTCCACTTTTGCCTCGTGCGGCCGCAATTCAGCAGTCTACATATAGTCCTGCGCTGCTTGCTGGTGTCCGCACGAGCCCGTGGCTGTAGATTGTGGCTGGCTGGTCTGGCACGCATGGCATGCGGATGCCACTGCTTCTGCTGGCCTCGCATGTCAGCACATGTTTAGTGAGATTGAGGGCTTTTCACAAGCTCTGTCTCGCGCTGGGACGCGGACGGAGCTGAGCCGGACAAGAAGCCTAAGTTGCATTGACTGATGGCTTCGTCTTACATGCTTCACTGCAGGAATAATACTGTGCACCCGGCCTAGATCCAGCTGAGCTTCATCCGTGTCACTTGCGCCAGCCTTGGAAACTTGTTTAAAAAATCTGCAGCTGCTGGTAGTATGGGTACGCGATGTAATTTAAACTGTTCGCAAGGCCGCTGCAACACCACCCTGTCGCTGCAGCCTTCGCAGCAAGCGACGATGCCTGACAAAACCACAAGCATCCACAAGCTATAGTATACTGTGGCGTTAGGTCCGTTCGCTGGAACTGAGATGGTGCATTTCAGCTGCTCCTCGATGACAACTGAGACGCTCACGCATCGAGCTGGTCCGCTGCCACGCCGGAGGATTCCAACCTGCCAGCAGCTCTTAAGACGAATGAACAAACTGGAAGATTCCATCTCGCGCGGCTTTGCCATTGCCTGCAAAAATGCTGAACTTCTCTCATCCAAACATTCCAGATGCTATTCCCTCGCCGGTGGCACATGCTTTGTCTGGAGATGCTGGGAAGCAGCATATAGCGAGGTTGCGCAAGCGTCGAGCCTTTCAGCAAGCTCTGGCACACAGGTGGCTTGCTGCTCAGCAGCAGCATCCAAAATTTGTGCAATGCAAGCCACGTCCGTCTCCACTCGCAGCGTGCACATCCGGAACCACAAGTGGAAGCCAACTTGCCAACGGGGTGAGCAACAGGCACCAATGACGTCGCTGTGACTTATGAGATCAGGCTGCGTGTTGATGATGCTCATGTAGCTAAAGATTGCCAGTGCTGGTGCCCACTGGCAGCGTTCTTTGTGCAGAGTGATCGCGTTCGACAGGAGGACCTTGTTCGGCTTCAAGCTGCTTTGCAGAAACTGCGATAGGAAGTCTATGGTCTGCCCGCCCGATCGGCGATAGCCGGTCCATGCCAGGCTGTGTGTGAACACATCCATCTCCATGCGACGAGTATACATAGCATGCAAGAGCCACGATGCCATGTTCCATTGGGTGCTCTTGACAAGGCCATCGCCAGCTGCATTAAACACGAAGTTGTTTAGTTGGATGCCAGAGTTGCACATTCTGCCGAGCAATGCCAGAATTGATCTCCAGCATGGTGCATCCATTGAGCTGATGATAGAGGTGGAGCCTACGACATCCATTTTTAATTGGCGTGATGCCATGTCTTCCTGCACCTGGACAGCATTTTCCCATCGTGCCACCTTTGAGCACGAGCTGCAGGCGGTGTTGTGAAGAAACTTGTTCAGTTTGACATTCCGTGCCATTGCTGCATGAACTAGTGAAAGCGCTTTCTTCCATGTACCTTTCCTGTCCAGTGTGCTACTTAGTGAACTGAAACATACAATGTTGGGCTGGGTGCTGGCGGTCAAGGCATTCATCACGGCCAGGGCAGTCTCCCAAACCACACTGCTTGCATGGACCGCCGAGCTGCATATAATCTCGTTGCTTTGCAGCGCAACTCTGTTCATGCTGCTGAATGTCCCAACTGCACGCTCCCACGCTTGGCCAGCTTTTTGACTATTGAGGAGCACTCCAAAGCTCGTCTGACTGACTCTGACTGTTGATCTGCATGTGGCCTCCATCAGATTGCAAGCAATTTGCCAGTCATCCAGTGCTTGTCCGGAACTGTTTGCCGTGATAATGTCCTCTTTCACTGACAGCTGAAGCATTCTGCGGTGCAGGCAGAGAGCCTCGCACCAGTGCATGCTGGAGAAGGCACGTAGTGCTGCATTGAAGCTGATAAGGCTTGCTCTAAGCATTGGCTGAAGCGTTTCCAGGATGTGCAGAGCACCTCTCCACATTTGACTTCGACCGCAGGCTGAAATCCGCTGGTTGAGGTCCACTACATCCACAACCATGCATGCTTGCAGCATTGATTGCAGTCTGGCCACCGAGGTCTCCCACAACTCGCCATTCACATTTCCGTGTTTTTCCGATTTCCAGGCCGTGATTTTTGCCGCTCGAACTACTCAGACCGGCATCGCTTCGTAACTTCGTAGCCTCTTGCCGCCCAACTTGCCTGGTTGCGACGTCCAGGAACTCATCACCGAACACGCTGCCTCCGTTTCTCGATCGGGCGGCGTCTCTCAAGCTGTGGGCTGCGCAGTCGGATTGCGTATCATGGAATGATGGGAAGTCTGCACTCCTTGAACATGCTTGGGCCAGTCAAGTGATGTCAAGTGCAACAAGAAACCAAGCTTCCCCTTACGCTGCCGACTCCTGCTGTCCTTTCGATCAGCTCGGAAACCTGGGGAATCTTTGCTGGGTGCCACGCCTGTGGAAGAGGTCGCTGGCGCAATGGAGTGCGGCTCGTACCTTTCTTGATCTGTTTTGCATGTGCAAATTTTGCGGAAATGGCAAGCAGCCAGCAGCCTCTCGCCAGCTAAAGGCTTCCAGCGCTGCACCTTCGTTCACACAGCAGCGTGGCACGAGGAAGTCTGCTTTGCATGCTCACTTGGGCTCACTTGGGCCGCAGGCTTTGAAACACCCACAGGACGAAAAGGCCCGCGTATGCACGTGCAGAAGTCAGACCTTCGGCGACCGAGGCAAAAGCGCCGAAGAAAAAAGTCCTACTATACTAACAGTCCTTAAGAGGGATTATAATCGGGGTACTATAGGCCCTATAAAGGACTGTTAGAAAGTGTACCCGTACCTAAGAGGCGACCGTAATCTTCCCGGCCTGTGATGGGCGAGAGGAGCGACAGCCTGACAGGAACGACTTTCATGCCCCGCCTGTGCAGTGACACTCCATGCTCGAGACGTTTGTCAGCCAAAAGGCGCTTGTCGGCAGCTCCATCTGACGGCAGCCATGTCCTGGTCAAACTAGTTCGCCAAGTAAGAGTGCTAGGCCACAGTAGAAATCCATGGAGCCACACTCCCGATAGTTCATGGCTTCCGAAAGCTTCTTTCGCTTGGAAAGTTGGCATGCACCAGCCCTGATTCAGGTCTGATTCAGTCAGATGATCTTGTGTTTGTGATCCTCAGCCCTTCATCCCAAATCCGGCAGTCCTTCAGCTGCCAGCAGATTTCTGCGAGACCTCGGATGAAGAACAAGCTCTGCCAGTGCCTCACGGCTCCTTTCTCTTCCAAGACCGTGGCAAGTGTAAATTCCTTCAGGGTTCGCAGTGCAAGTTGGCCACCTGACAGAGACGAAAAAAGCATGGGAAGAACAATGGTTTCGGCGGGGATGGACTAACTAAACCCTAGACAATCCCTAGGGCCCTAGGGTTTAGGGTTTAGGGCTTAGGGTTTCAATGCTTTAAGTGGGGATGAACTAAACCCTCAACCCAAGGGGCCTCTGGAGAGTTGCCTCGCAAGTTTCCAGACATCGCCTGGAAGCCTGCAAGTATCCCAACCTTGCATCTGAGGCCTTCTGGCCCTTCCCTTTCCCTGCGAGCCGGAGGACTTCTGCTGCGTGGAATAAGCGCTGATAGCGGGCTGCTGCCCAGCTGCCATCTTCCAGCCAAAGACGTGCGCAGCCTTGACCACCCTCCAGCTGCCAGGCGAGAGCGCACCACCGCGCAGCTTCGAGCCAGTCTCCGCTGCGCAGGTGTCGCTCAGCCAGCCGATTGCAACAGCCGCGCCCAAGCAATGCTACTGACCGATCCTCTTCGGACCAGTCTGGGTTTTCACAGGCATGAACGGCACTTGCAGCAGCCAGCAGCTCCTTCTGTGACGGAAAAGTCTCTGCTTCCACTCCAACGAGTCGGCAAACCTCGCTGGCTGCCTTCTCATACTGCCGCGAGTGCCAGAACTCCCACAGCTGGGTAAACACTGCCATGGCATATTTGTGCCAAGGCTCATTTTACGTCTTATCCTCCCAACAGACATGCAAGGTTGGGGGTTGGGATTTAACTTGTTTCCGAATCAGTGCGAGCTGAGTTGACGGCTGTTCGAGTGATGCAACTAAAGGCTGTACGGGCAAGCGCTCGTAACCGTTTGCAGACGCTCTGAGCAAGTTCAGCTGCTTTCTCGTTATGTGAGGCTCGCCAACCTGGAGTTTTCAGCGAGGGACGTAACTGAATGCAGGTGACAAGGCAGCATGATTCACGTGCGGCACGCTCCCTGGACCACTCTTTCTCTTGACAGCGGCCTCAAAGACCACAGCTTGTGGCTGGAGGAACTTGTGCCCGTTACCAACCGATTTTCTCGTACAAGCCACAGGGTGTCTCACACCCATTGTTGATATCACCAGGGGCACTTCTCGCGCCGCGGGCTTCGTGACCGATCGGCACGCGAGTCCTGCGCACAACGGACTTGTTGAACTGTTGTTGTTACCCTATGATTAGATCAGTACATTTTTACCATACCATGTTATTGAATGATTAGATCATTATAAACACGGATATATGATTATATGCTGAATTCTAATTTATTCTATCCTCGTATTGTTACGCTATTCTCTTTTTCTGTAACAATGTTTCTATGTTGTGATATTATGATATTTTGATACTATTCGTACAGTATTACATTCTTATATACTAATATTGTTGTATGATGATCGTATTCTATTACCCTTATGTTCGCATTGTATTCTTATAGTGTTTCCTTCCTATTCTGTCAGTATGGAAAATACTATGAAATTCGGAGACTTTGCTACTATTTGTATTTTTTACATTACTACATTATTACATTATCGCATAATTATGCGTGGTTCGTTTATTTTTCTATTACATTAGTTTAGTACTAAAGTACCATATGGTTACATCTATGAATTTGGATACTATTTTATTACTATGTGTTTATACTATGTTCTTATCTTCGCATTTCTAAATCAATCGCTTTATTGTTTTAGTGTTACATCCCCTCCTGCTTCTTTGCCTGGCCATCAACCCATCCACCCTGCAGGCTGAAGTGGACACGGCAAAGCACGGGAGATGAAGGGAAAAGTACTTTGTCCCACATGCAGCCCGAAGCCTGTGCGAACCGCGAACACCCGAAAACCACACTCTGACAAAACCGCACTCAAGGAAGAGCATCGACAAAGAGCATCTGGAAAGGACTCTCATGAGGGGCCAATCATGAGGGACCAATGTCCTCTGCTTGATTGTAAGCGCTTCCGGGTGTCTTTGGCGAATTTTACGATCGTTCGCTTCCTCACTAGAATAGCAACTGGCTTTCAGGCAAAGCAAGACACACACCGCAGCCACGTGGGGGAGGGGTCGAACCGTTTGCCTTGTCAAAGGGGGGGCACGAATGCGTGCCCCTGTCTTTGAAGGTGGCCATACGCATGGTGGGGGTGAGAGGGGGGGGGGGGGGTTTGTGGGTGGAGAAGCCTCAGAATTCTCGGCCTCCCTGAACCCCAAATCCTAAACCCCCTCAAAATGCCCCAAGTCATTGGGGTTTCGTTTCCACCGGCCTCCAACACCAGTTCCACCTCGGCATCAGAATAGTTTCGCCATCCGGTCCTGGCACCGGGGTTTCGGGGTCTGGGATACTAGAGGAGCGTAAACCCTAAACCCTAAACCCTGAGGCCTAAACCCCTTAACCCTAAGCCCTTCAGAAGAACATTATACTCTGTTGTGGGCAAGAGCCTGGACGTCCAAGCTCCAGAAAAGGCCTTATACAAGTAAGAAAATAGTACGGTCATATAAGAATAAAACCATATACGAACGTCATGGTATAATCATATAGTAATATAGCATAACAATCTAATGAGATCACCATATGAACATTCAAAAATAGCAGAATATGACCATATAATATATACAAAAGTCCTTGGAGGACGATCGGCATCGCATTCAGCGTAGAAACACTCGCCACCGGACCTCAAATCCACTACAGATACCATCGAGGGTGATGGTTTCTCAGGCTGATAATTAATCAGAGCAAGCGCGGCCGATTTCTCAAGGACGCCACGCATCACAGATCCACCATGTTGGCTTGTCGTCACCGCCGAGTGTGAAAGCAATACTCGGCCGAGCCCCTTCGGTTTTGGGCCTGCCAGGTAAGAAGGGTTTAGGGTTTAGGGTTTAGGGTTTGGGGTTGAAGAGTCGTGTTGAGGCTTAGGGCACAGTCCATGCGTCAAGCGCTGCCCTCATGAAAAACCTTCAGTCGAGAATCCCTAACACTAACAATCCTTACCAGGGACTAGAATAGGGGGTACTATAAGCCCTATGAAGGACTGTTAGGATAAAGGGGGAACATCCCAACCCCTAAACCCTAAACCCGAAGTCTTGAATCCCGTGAAACGAGCGACCCGAGGAACACCGGCTTGCCATTCTCCGTCTGCGAGCTTTGCACATATCTGCCAAAGACGTCGAAGTCCTGGCGACGGGGGTCCGCTTCAGATCAGACCACGCCAGGTTCCCCAAAAAACCCAATGTCCCTTAACTAAGGCATATTCCTTAAGTCATAATAAGGATCCTTTGAAAGTTTAAGGTGTATTCCTTCATTTAATGGTAATTATTGGGCTCTCTGGGTTCTGTAACAGATGATGAAAAACCCCCTCCCCCCAACCTTTATGCTAGCCGCAAATCTGGCTTTCGACCTCTCTGCCTGCTACGAGGCACTTGGAGAGCAACTAGTGTATTAGGAATGTGGGGCTTTCAAAGCCCCGTCTCCTTGCATCTGAGTTGTTTCGGTTGCAGGCTGGAACAGGGTTGGGGGGGGTCGGGGACCCTAAACCCTAAACCCGAAACCAATGTAAGCCTGTGACCTTCCGTCCCAGGAAACGCAATGCATACCACGTCAGATCCAATCCGGTCCTGTCTTACAAGTACATGTATGCAGTTTTTTAAGCTTTTCTAAATATACATCTATACACCCCAAAACATGTGTATGCACAATTTCCATATTGACGAACACGAGCAAACTAGACACAGACACCCGCGCACAGAGTGTCCATGGCCAACTCCGCAGGTCCCTTCAGCTCTAGGCCCTCGCCGCCCTGATAGTCCCCGTCGAAGTCCTGGTGGGGACCATGGGAATACAGTTTCGGGTTTAGGGTTAGGGTTTAGGGTTTAGGGTTTAGGGTTTAGGGTTTAGGGTTTAGGGTTTAGGGTTTAGGGTTTAGGGTCCTCATGAAATGACTTGCGCTGGTGATACGGCGGTCCTCATCCCGATCATAGTCGTCCCCAGAGCCATCCTCATCTGGCAGAGCCATGTCCAAAGGATCCTCCTGGAAGCTTGAGAGTTTAGAGGACTCAACTGTCTGCTTTTGTAACAGCAATATACTGATAGATTGCCATTATCAAGCTTATTATTACTATTATTATGATTACTATTGCTATTATATAACAATATAATAGCAGAAAATATTGTTCATATAACAATATACTCAGTATGCTAATATTTAATTCTCTAAAATAATATGGAAAACTAAAATATAACCATACACTGATGTCATAATAACATCATAACATCACAATATCATAATATATAATAATATACTGATCTAAATACAGTAATTTAAAACATAACAGTATTAAAATTATAACATAATCATATAATAATCGGATAATATCACAATCTAGTAATATCAAAAGTATACTAATTCGCTAATACATTACTACTATAACATACAACAATATAAACATATGTATATACACATACTGTATATACACCTCTTTCTGATGATATACTTCTTTCTGACGATATACTAATATGATAACTTAGTATTTTGAAACTTTTAATGAATATAAGAATATACCAATACAGTAATGTACTCATTTAATCATCTGCGAATATATGAAAATACAAATTTAAGAATACACCAACGTAACAATATAATTTCCTACTCTACCATCTGTCCTGAACTTCCCCTTCAGGATTACCATGACACCCTGAACCCGAGACCTCAAACAGGTTGGTGGTCTCTTTAATTGGGGTTTTCTGTTTTAGAAGGGGTAGATGTAGGGATCCTTATTATGGTACGCAGGGGCTATATTGGGCAGTTTATGGAACAGATAAAGAGACCACCAGACTGTATAACCCAGACCCTAATATATTACATATTATATATTATATATTGTATATTATATGTTATATATCATATATTATATATTATAAATTATATATTATAAATTATATATTATATATTATCTATGAAAAATGATATATTATATATATAACCCCTTGCGGCTGGGGAGCCTTTGCCATGGCTGGAAGTTGTGGAGCCCACTGGTTATGAGCCAGGCTGCTGGGCGGCCAGGAGCCGGTGTGGGGTGATCTTCGGGTTTAGGGTTTAGGGTTTAGGGTTTAAGACCATCTTGTGATACTCTAAACTATAGAGCGCTATACGCGTGCTTGCGAACCAAAACTATCTCAACCCCCAAGTAGGTTTTGGCAATTTGCACTCGCGCTCCTCAGCAAAGCCGGGGGAGATACGAAAACTATGTGACCTGCCCTTCTGCCCCCCACTCCAACCCTTCGTGGCAAGTTTCAGGCCTTAGGGTGCAGAGCGTCACATCGAAGATTTCGACCGTCACAGCTCAAGACATGCCAACGTGGACAAGACCTAAGACTGCTAGAACAACTCTGCCCGAAACTGGCCAAACAAGCGAAAACTGTATCAAATATGATGCTTGAGCAAGCTGTGGCGTCAAGGGCCCATACTCCGAACACCTCCCTTTTCGCTTTGACATGAGCAGAAGCCTTCGGGTCAAGCGCGGAACGCCCAACTTTCTAGGTGAAACGGAGACTTCGCAACATTGGACAGGGCTCAGATAAGACTATATATAGTCTAGGCGCTCAGGACATGATCTGCTTCAAACATGGACGCGTGCTTGCCTGCCGTGTGCGTGTGCGCCGACGTGTGAAACCTGCCCTTCACCATTGCGCCTGGGACAGTTCCATAATAGCAATAACCGGAATAACAATATTGACGGCAATACTGATGCTAGGAAGAGTAAGAATAACAGAATAACACTAACCTTTCATGATGATGAATAGTACTAAGAACCATAGGTCAATGCGGTTTGAAGTACCGCCCTGCCAAAAAATCAACTTGTCAGTGAGACCCGCTTCAGGGATCGAAGTCTTCTCTCTGAACTCTTTCTGCTGAGGGTTACTGGTAGCAGGTTCACGTGTAAACTTCGACAACACAGCAGGTACACGCAAGATGCTGGAACCCTCAGCTTGTTCAGCTCCACAGACACCGACACTGACACCGACGCCGACAAAAAGGGCCCAAGAAGGTACCCCCTAATTTGGGAAAACGCCCAGCTGGACGATCCCGCCTGAGTGCTCCAACAGCGGGACGCCCATGCTCGGAGCACCAGAGCTTTGCCTGAGATGTTGGACCCTCACCTACTTTGCTCAGCTCTTTGCAAAGATGCGACCTTCAGCTGCGACCTTCAATGCATGCAAGCGGCATCTGCTGCCAAATCGGTCGTCCACGTCGAGTAGACAAGGGTTTGAAGGGTTAACATCTCGATGGAGATTAAAAAATGGCATACTTAAAACTTACAATGGTAGGGTAAATTTGCGGGCTTAACATTTTCACTGTCAGCACAAACGATGTTTGAAACAGTCGGTCCAGGCTCTCAGTGTCTTTGTGTCTTTCGCTGGCCGGAGCCAGGATTTTCGGGTGCTTCTTCACAATAAATTATGCTTCTCCGCCTTGATCCTGCCTGGTGGAATTTCCTGAACTTCTGCGTAGCGTGTTTCGCGCAGTAGTCAAAGCGAAGCATCGAAGTCGAATTTTGCACTCCCAGTTGTGGGTGTACTCTGAGAGGAGGCTTGACTGGAAGTTTGCGCAACCACCAGGGCACATTCTTTTAATTGTTGGATAGCAGGGAATGAAGGACTTAGGGCCCTATTATATACCCTTTAAGGGACTACATAGGGTACCTCATTCCCCCCATTCCTTACTAACCAACAGTTTGTCTTTCATTTCAACGCTCCTCAGGCAGCGCCTTGGTATAATGTGGGTTTGTTGCATGGGTCAAAATCAACAAGGCAGTGCCGGAGGCAGATCCTTGACGTAATGACGTACTCTTAGTACCCATCACGTCTTCAAGAGCAGTGGATTCAATAATATACTGAGGCACATCCCAACGCCTTACGCGACTGGGATATCCTGGGGATCATGTCTAAAGACGGACGCTTGTCATGGCAGCTTGTCATGCGCGATGACTGGCAGATACTGGATTCCAGGAGTCTCGCAACTGTGGTCATACGCGCCAGGCTGTCGTGGACAGTTCCAAGAATTTGAAAAGCTGCTCAAGGCTGCTCATGCATTGACCTCGCTTGGCCTCGAAATGACACGTCCCGGTGCCGACATTACGATGCATTGAGCGTAGATGGCCGGAGCCACAAACACACGACTCACGCCACAGCCCCAGGGGTACCGCTTGGGTCGCGGGCAGGGATGCGTACATGACAGTGCGGTGCATGATGCGGGCATGTGTGCTGTTGGCGGCCGGAGCCCTGGTCCCTTCTTCGGTCGAAATTTCCACTCAGAAACTCTCTGGTCCCCTCGCCCGCGGCTTTCGGAGATCTTGAACACTGTTCCTCTGGCTCTCTGGCTCTCTCGTGAGGCTACCGGCTTTTGGCCGCGACCAACTGGCAGTGCCGGCAAAATGACACGCCTTCAAGGCAATGTATGAAACAATTCCCTGATCCACTACATATGGATGTGCAATTCAGTTTTTTGGGTCCTTTGGCAGAGTGTCCAGAACAACATACTTGCACAAAGCCTACCACTCCTGGCCCGCAGACCTGATCAGCTTGACGTGGCGACGGAGTGCATGTCATTCTTGACAAAGCATGTCTCGTTGAAATGTTGCAGTTGCATTCTGCAAGCAGTTTCGTTGCAGGCAGGGCCATCTGGCTGACAGGACCAGCGCAGTCTTCGTTAAACTTCTGACCAGTAGTGCATGTGCACAAGTTTAGCCGCACTTGCTCTCAGGTGTCAAAACCCCGTGCTGCATGTCCGCTGGACCTCCAAGCTATCTCACAAGCCGTCTGAAAAGTGACACTTGCATCCCGCAACGTGCACCTATAGGCGGTGGGCTGAACGGGGGCCCAGCTCAGCTCAACAGCTAGTGAAGCCCGACAGGATCCGACAGGAAAGCTGCACTTCAATGCCTGCCGCCATTTGTGAGCCTGGCTGTGAATGCATAGATGTGCCAGGGGTTCCGTTTGGATACCCTGGCAAAAGTCACCTTTGCAGCAGCGACGCATCGACTATAGGCCCCACCCCGTAATTTCAGTGGGGTATCGGGACAGCTTGGCGCGGCTGCCCGGGAGGTCTGTTGACAAAGGCTGTTGGCTAAAGCAAACCTGCTGTTGGAGCCTGGAAAATTTGTCGCAGCGGACTCCGTGGACTTTAGCCCATGGGAGAAACCCTCAAAACCTTCAACAAGAGGACATCGCGTCTCAAGCTGGCCGGAGCCAGTGCCTCACGTGCTCCCTTGATCTTCTCTCCAACTTCAACGAGCTTCAGCGCTTCGCGTTGCTGGGTGAGCACGAGTGAGCACTGCTGTAAGACAACCCCCACAGCCCTAAGTCACAATGGCGATTGAAAACTGAGGAAGTGTTTCGCAGCTGTGAAGGGCTAGCTTCACAATGTCTCACAGACAAAAAAAACAGCATTTCTTCCACTGAAAGCCACGGCAGTCTGGATTTCCTGCCCTGCACACCATGATGAACGATGCTGGAACTGGACACATTCAAAGTTCGCACGCAAACGCTACGTCCAACTTGATAACTCCAACGTTCATCAACAGTTTGATGAAAGGGATGCGAACAGAATCTGGAACACATTGACAAGGAGCGATGTTTGCTGCGCACGTCGCGGTCTGTGTCCCATGGTTCTCTTTGCCCACTCCTTCCAGGACTGGTGTGCAACAGACTTCTCCTGACGAACAGGGCAGGCAATGAGACTTGCATCGCGAGGAATGAAGCTCAAAGCATTGAAGCAGACAGCATGAAGGGCAGTGTCCGCACTTGTCAAGTAGCACAGGTTGCGAGTCTAGATCATGCAGTGCTATGCGTCTACGCTCTCAAAGTGCCCATGAGGTCCCAGCAAGCTGGAGCGTGCACGCTACAGTGGCGGTTTTGCAGTGGTAGGCACGGCCATTCGATGCAGCGCATGCTGGTTCTTAGGGTGCTTGATGAATGCTCGACTTGAGAACGCCTCAGGGCTTTGCAGTTCACAATGCCTCGCATCTGATGCTGCAGGCACACCACATGACAAGAAAGTTTAGCCAGGAATGAATGCTGGCCAGAGTCGGCCGGTGTTCCGGCATCTGAGCGCGAAGCATCCGAGGTACTGTGATGAGTACAGTCCAAAGATCGTGTCACTCGTGTTACCGCCACATCATGGCTCTGTCTAGTTGGTGAGGCCGCACCAGGAGTTCTTGCATAGATTTCAGCTGCGCAGCTGTTTTAGAATCTGAGATGAAACGAAAGGCCAACAAGGCCACTGTCCTTGATGTGTGATTCCACGTGACTCGACCCTTTGAAGGGCATGCCGACCTTTGCCGACAAGAATTCTGATATCTGTCACGTTCGCTTCTGTGCAAATGGTGGCCGGAGCCACAGGCGTTTGACGTACTGGACGTTGCGCCCTGGATCTACTGAGGGGTCGTCCGGAGAGCATGGCGATGCGTTGCCGCATTCAGCCTGAACAGTTACACATCTGCCTCACGCCATTCTAGAAAGAGTCAAGGCCTCTGAGTTTGGATTATGGGGAGGAGTGAGTTGTGGTGAGTTGTGAGTAGTGGCGTACAGCGATGCAGATGTACTGCTACTCGACTGCTCGCGGTAATTGTTACATGTGGCTTGCGCCACTGACGACAAGACACTACAGGAACTCATCTTTAATGAACAAGGCGGCCGGAGCCAGATGCAAGAAGTCGGATCAGCCATCAGAACAGCTCCCCTTGAACTCTGAGCGCGTGCGCCTTTGACAGGCTTTCGGGGAATCATGGCTAAGCTTGGTGTGCACCTGAGGAAATCAGTCCGAATTTTCAGAAGAACCAGGAATGTGTTCTCTCTTTTGCAGAGTTCACGATGCATAATGCACATGTCCATCAAAGATCATCAAAGTATCTCAGAGCGCCCTGATACTCGTAGTTGCGTCATCGGGCTGTGACTGCAAATGTGAGCTTCACAGTGGGCAGTGGCCTGTCGCCAACTTACCAAGTACTCAGCCTGTAAAGGCTTTTTGGGGACTTCCACGCATTTTCAGTTCTTCGGAAGGCCGGAGCCTGAGCCGATCAACTGATCTTTGGAAAGATTCAGCCAAGGAAAAATCTCAGTGCTGGTGCGCACATGTTTTGCGGCCACGCGGTACTCCAAGCAGGTGAGGGCAGTTGGCCATCAGCCTGGAAAAAGCCAAGTGTATGAGTTATACACTGTTGTACCTCACTGGTGCAAAGTCCACTCGTAGCAGAGTTTCAGCTGTCCGTTTCACGGACTTGCTTGTTGCTGGTGCACTTGGCAATGGCGCTTGCGGGCTTCGAGAGAGGGTACTCTCGGAAAAAAAACATCTGAACACATGTCAGCTTGGCCCACAACATCTGAGGCTGATACAGGACTGAATGTGCAGCGAAGCTCCAATGGTTGGCCGTGGTGAGCAGCGCCCGGCTTTCTTGCGCCGGGGAAGCTTCCGACCTTTGGAAGATCGCTATCCAATGAATGTGCTGCAGCTCAGCAGCTGGCGGATACCGGGCAGATATGCGCAGACTGAAGACCGAACTGCAGGCAGGCAAGCTACAATAGCCTGAGCATGTTTTGTCTTGGCCGAACTTGAAGATGCATGGTGCATGAATACACAAACTGTTGGACAGTTCTCGGCAACTCCTTCTCGGAAATCTCGGAAAGGCAACTGCTCTGACATTCTGGTGTAGCCCGGAGGCAAGTTAGCGCTTTGCTGTGCTGCAAGTCTTCACGCCGATGGGTTGCTTCAACCATGGCAGGTGGGAAGTGGCACGTTGCCCATTACGCGCGCAAAGCGGAAACTGTGACACATGGGCGAAGGCTAAAGGCTAGATTTCGCTAGATCGTCTGTGGACAGACTTGGCAAACAAAACTCCCTTTCAAACTTCAACAGTGTCTTCTACTCAGGAACCTTTCAACTGACTGATCCTGGAGCAGGCAACGAACCTTTGAAGCGAGGGATGCCAGGGAGACATGCGATTCGCCCGATTCTACGTAGTACCAATGGTGGAGTACATGGTGGAAGACCACAGTTGAGCCGATTCCCTGTAGCCTGACGCTCTTTAGGAACATAGGAAAACCCAGTGTTGCTTGTGTGAAACCCACTGTTGTTTGTGTGAGCTATGAGCTACGTGTCTCGGGTGTGGCAGGCATGCTTCTTCGTGTTGGGCTCTCTATGAATGGGCGGCGGCGTCTGATGCACAACAGAGTAGATAGAGTGGGCTTGAACTCCTCACAGCTCCCCAAAAGCCGCCTATTTCGTAAACGCCTGTTCAAGGTTCTGTGGCGAAGTGATGAAGAACAACCGGGGCGGGACGAGACATGGTCAAGCTTGAAGTTGTCGGGCAATGTGGAAGGACTGCAGGCTTACAAAAAACTCGCCCCGCAAGCAATTGTGAACAAACAGCCACTCATGGGCCAAATACTGTTGGATCCGTGTGAAAGATGGGACAGGGGCAGAGGGAGAAACCATGAGGAGTCTGTTGCTGCGCGTGAGAGGTTCTCATCTCGCCAGTCAGTGCCGAGAACGAGCAGTCGGCCACGTTTCAGCCAATCGCTTCTCCTGCGCAACTTCTTGGCAATGCATGGGAAGGCTTGTCGGCTATGGCGAGTTGATCTAACTAATTTCCATGGTACCTTTAACGTAAACAAGCACCTCATGTGCCATGGTGTCCATGGTGCACAGGACACTACATCCCTAAACCCTAAACTGCATGCGTGCTACTTGTGGGACTTCACCTCAGCCATCGCCCGCCGGTATGCTTGCCAGCCTTATCCGAAGCAAACTTCTCCGCATGGCGCATGTAGCAGGGGAATTTTCGGGTTTTGGGGTTTAGGGTTTGGGGCTTAGGGTTTAGGGCATTGCTCACTCATGACAGCGTGCAACAGCGGGAGGCAGCTGCAGAAGCCTTCGAGGCGTGTGCTTTGCGTGAATGTCCCGTACAATCGCGGCGTTGTTGTTGTCGATCTCAAAGATTCGAAGGGCCTGCGGTCTGGCGAAACCTACACCCTCAACCCTCAGCGGTCGCCTCCCAACATCCTAAACCGTTTAACCCCATTAATCCTACACAAAAACTATAAAAAACAAGCCTTTTAATAAGCCCTAACCCTCAAGTGTAAAGCCGCTTCTTCGGCCGGCCTGCCGCAGGCAGCTCTCAGCCTCCGAATCCTTTCCCAGGACCAGGTGAACCGATCCCAGCGCCTCCAACGAGTAGGGCTTTCAGAGATTTGTGCTGCCTGGGGTTTTTTTGGGCTTAGATCTTCGGGTCTAAGATTTTTTGGGGGTTTGGAAGTGAGGGTCCAGGACTTGGGGTGCCAGGACTTTGGGTGCCAGGTTTTTTTCAAGCTCAGTATTTAAGCTTCTGGTCCAAGGCCACGAAGAGCCTTTGGAGGTGGGTGCGTAGGTGCAAGCCATAGGCCCACCTCATGATTATAGGATATCCCCCTCGCAAGAGGAAAGTATGGCTGACTGAGCCCATGCTGGCACACGCCAGCATGGGTTTAGGCTGGGTTTCGGGTTCAGGGTTTCAGATTTAGGCTTGAGGGGTTTAGGGTTTCTGTACATGAAAGTGCAAGTGAGACGGGCCCACGTAGCAGCCCATCCCTCTTGGCTGGGAACAATGCGCAGGGGTCCGAAGGCAAAGGGTAAAGGTCTCAGAGGAAGAGGAGGTGCAGCCGTGGAGGTGGTGGATGTCAATGAGACTTTGCAACTTCAATTGGCCAGCGTTCGCCCTTGCAAGCACCTTAGAAACCTTCAGGGCAGGACTAGACGAGCTGCATGTACAAGAGACGAACTGTACGACGCCTCTGTTTCATGTTTATGAGAGGCCACGAAGGGTCCGTTTGAGACCAACTCTCCCGAACTGAACGACGTATTAACTGCCGAGGTTGATGCAAGACTTTGCGTGCTCGGGCCTTCAGGGTGCGCGCAACCTGTGAAGACCTTGAGAACGAGGCGAGACATGGCTTACTGCCAGTTGCCACTGGGCTGGGCTGTCAAACCTCATTGTCCCTAAGGTTCCAGCTGAGATCCATGAAGCCTCACAGTGGTGACTTCAGAGCTATGCTCGCAAGGACGTGCGACGATTACTGTGGATGTGCCTGCGCTCCAGGTAATGGACATCGTTCAGGTACAGCAACGCCTCTGGCATTTTCGACTGCATCTTCGTGGAAGCGGACACAGCATCACGACTCTGCTGAAGGCAATAAAGATCCTGGCGTCTTCATGTCGTCCGAGCTTGATAAAGAGCAGTGCCATCTAAGTCCAGCTTTAGTTTTGAATTGTCAGCTATACAAGGCCATCTGGGGGTTCGTAAAGGCGGATCCTCAGAAAGGGAACCTACTCTTCCCCAAGCAGTCTCCACACAGTACAAGTTCGTGAGCTTGAGGCCACGAATGCTAGATGACTTGCTTTTGTCGTCGCGCGTACGTGGGGCTTGGGTCTGACTGAAGTTTAACGAAGCGGTGCCGAAAGCGGAACTCAGCAAAGGCGGCTGGACGGGCTGCTGTCCAAAACAACGACGTCTGCATACGTCTGCTACAACCGTGCTAAATGCTTCGAAAGCAGCGGTAACCTGAAGAGCGATGGCAAGGGGGCCATATGGGGCTATGGGGCCACATGGGGGGGGGGGGGAAGGGGATGACGGCATCAGTATTGATACAATCAGCAATCATCTTATGGGGCCGGGGGGTGGGAGAGGCCTTTGGGCTTGCCGATATTTACCCTGAGTCACCTTAAAGTGTAAAGACTGTACTGTTTAAACCTCCGTTTTACTCTTGTGCAGGAACCCCTTTGAAAGGCTTTGCGGCTGTCGTTTACAAACACCTCTTTTCTGGAACACTCGTAGCCACTCCGAGGCCTGTTTAGCAATTGTTAGGACTCTCTAATCCGCCGAGGCCTCGGGCCGAAGGTGTATCGGTAGTCAGAACAGGCACCCCCCCTCAGCTCTTTTTCGGACCCCTTTTTTTGCCTCAAATGGGTACCCCCCCTAGGTGAGCAGGGTCCGCAAGCGGATGGTTCGCCAGGACCAGAACCAGTTGCAGCCCTTCCCAGCAAGGCCCCCCCTTTTTTCACTCCCCTACGCCCCCTGCCCCCCCCCTCCCCCCCCCCCCCCCCCCCCCCCCCCCCCCCCCCCCCCCCCCACCCCCCCCCCCCCCACCCCCCCCCCCAACCCCCCCCCCCACCCCCCACCTCCCCCCCTACCCCCCCTTTTCTCCCTCCCCCAACAGCCACATGAGCGGCTGGGCTCGAGGTGCTAATGGACGCAACAAGAGGGGCTTGATGTTTGTAGGTGTCGCTATAGCACACCCAATGGTTCATAACCTAGGCGTGTCGCTTTTCAAGTGTTCCCATCGTTTTACAGGGTTTTGGGCATTCGTGTCCACCCCTTGCTTAATTGAATGGCTGGGGGTTTTGGCGCTTGCTCACATAAGGTGTTTGTGAAAGGCGGAGTTTTCCTGCTCCGACGCGCTGGCTTGAGGGCCGGAGGCTCAACTGGTGTGAGCACGGCCGCAAATCCGCCGAGGCCTCGGGCCGGAGGTGTATAGGTTGTCAGAACAGGCACCCCCCCCCACACCCAACAAAACCCTTTTTCGGACCCCTTTTTTTGGCCTCAAATGGGTACCCCCCCTGGGAAACCGGGGTCCGCAAGCGGACGATTCGCCAGGACCAGAGGCAGTCGAAGCCCCTCCCAACAGGGCCCCCTCCCCCACCCCCCCCCCCCCCCCCCCCCCACCCCCTCCCCTCCCCCACACGGTGACCCCCCACCCCACCTCCCCCCTCCCCCCCACCCTGCCGAAAATTCGCCTTAAACTTTAAGGGGCCTGCCTCACTCCAAGCCGAACCCTAAACCCAAAAAAACCCTCAACCCCAAAGCGTGAACCTTGAGCCCTAAACTAACCCTCAACCCCAAACCCCAAACCATAAACCCGGAACCCTCAACCCTCAACCCTCAACCCAACCCTTATTGCTTGGGGTCCAGCGACTTGGGCGCTGCGGAATCACCATGCTCACGCGGATGCGCTGGGCCGGGCCGAGGCGGGTCGCGTAGCGTTAAAATTAAAGCACTTGGTCGAACCTTCGCAAGCACCCGAGTTCCTCCAAGTGGCATCACGCTTCACGTCCACAACTTGGGGATCTTCCTCACCTGACGCTGCGACTCGTTGCGATTCACGTCAGCGGAGTTCCAGGCTCAGGGAGTGGCCGAGGCTTTGCGCAGCACTTTCTGCGACCTGCAAGGCCTCCGCTATCTCCAATCACAGCGCTCACTGAAAATAGTCGAGTAGCAGAATGAATGCATGTTAGGGTATCGGGAGTCTGGCTGCCACTGGTGACAGTCTCCCTGCCTCCAGTGCTTCTCTCTCTCGCTTGTCAACCTCAAGCCTGCTCCAGAGGTATCGCAGATTACCGGATTCTCCCCGACAGCAACGTCTTGGGCTGGGGCCAGTTTGCCAACTGACAGCTGCTCTTGATGAGCAAAGCCTCGGCACTCCACTCGCTCACTGCTTCAGCGCGAGGCCTTGTAAATCTCATGCGCTGAGGTGAGAGACTTCTGAGAGGTTAGCAGTCTTCAAAGGCTCTTCATTCTGGAGGATTGACACGACAGCCTTGACTTTGGGCAGCCACATTCTGATCACGCCACTGGACGCGGATGCCCTGAAAATGACAACCAGCCCCACCAGTGCCATTGCTCCAGGTACCCGCTTGGCCTGCAGAGTTTGAACAGCTTCCTCTGACCTGCAGACCATGTTGGGAA